GGGCCTGTTTGATGTGAACAGGAGTATGCAGCAAAGCACGTGTTTATTTTTAGGAAGTGGCTCAGGCCCCAAATCACAAGTGAGCACAAGTGAGCTAATGCTCAAAGACCTGGCTCCCTGATGGCGTGAGAGGATGAGTTATATAGGGAAAAAAACATTAATCATGGTGACTAAGGAAGTTAGGGTCATAGTCTTTACTGACTGGTCAGCGCTAGGGTAGCAGGCATTTGATCACAACACCTGGTCCTGATGTCAGCCATAGTATTGCTTCAACTGGTTTCTCAAGGATGCAGTGGAGGGGAGTTTTCTGGAGCTAAAACACAGCTGAGGCCTAGATGTTATCTTTATTTTGACCAAAATTCTGTCTCTGGGGTCAAAAGACTTGCAACTTTGTTCCTAAGATTATCTGATGCTGACCAGAATCTCATCATCCTGAGGGCTTCTTGATTAAGGGAGAGGTCGTGCAGGGGAGAAGGAGGCCGGTGAGTCACAGTGCTGGATTGAGCCAGTTTGAATCAGAAGGAAAGGAAGGAGAAAGGCCATTCCATTCTAAACAGGAGGATTCTACTCAGTTACAAATACATACCTATTCAAACTTTTTAATTTCCAATTAAACAGCACCCTGAGTCCATGTTGCAATCTAGATATAACATAGACCCCTTAACATACAAACTTTCTTTCTTTTGAGCCTATTGAAACATTTTAAAATTTCATTTTAATTTCTCTTAAACTCTACAGCCAGGGATAGACAAACTTTTGGCATCTCTGGGCCACACTGGAAGAAGAAGAGTTGTCTTGGGCCACTAAATACACAAACATTAAAGAAAACTGATGAGCAAAAGAAAAGGTTTAAGTAAATTTATGATTTTGTGTTGGGCCGCATTTATAGCCATCCTGGGCCACATACAGCCCGCAAGCCATGGGTTGGACACCCCGTGCCTACACCACCCCAAATTCCTGTAATAAACCTGTTTTTCCTTTGTTTAGCAAGGCACTTCATGTTTCTTCTGGAATGTGGACTCCCGACTTACATTGGGCCAGATACCTGACTTCCTTGAAACACAATTTTGTTTCCCACGGGCCTAGGCTTATTGGACTAGGAAGCCAGTCTCACTAAATGTTCAGAAATACTAATTTCACATAAAAATTAGCAACAAAAAAGTATCAAGTTTATGTACCACACAAAGAGCTATTTTAGGAAAAGAGAGAAATTGCCAGGTTGAAATTTGGGGTTTAAAAGTTATTTGAGGCAGAAATAAAACCAAATGTTTCTACCAGTCAGGCAGGACCTTATGAAGGCTTTGGTTGATTGGTCCTTGGATGCCGGTGGTGACAGTTTTTAGATGCTAAAACTTTGCTTTTCTCAGAAGTTTTCCCTCATTAATTGAAATAGTTGATTTTTACTGGCAACTTAAAATTCCATCAAATGTTTTTCTAATTAACCTCAGACTTACCTAATAACAACATGTTAAGGCCAAGTATAATTCTTGTCCAGAAATGTAATTTTGGAAGAAAATAAAAAGATCCCCAGACTCACCATTAAAAAAAGAAAAAGAAAAAAGAGAATTAGGAGCATATCATCATTATAGATAATGAAAGCATGTGTGAAAGACGTGCCACAAAATAGATCAAAACTGTTAGTTACTATTTTGAAACTAAAAGACATTAAGAAAATGACACAAAATATAAAGAACAACATGCTTTAGAATTAGAAAACCTCAGTTAATTAACTCAATGGAATAATCCTTTTACAGTATATACATATATCAAATCATCACATTGTATACTTTAAATACCTTAGTTTTATTTGTCAGTTATACCTCAAGAAAGCTGGGGGGAAGGAAGATAGAAAAACTCAGAAATAAAGTGACAGAAAATCAAGAAAATTAGCTACAAAGAATAAACTAGCAGGAACACAAAAGCTAATAAACACAAAAGATTGATTTTTTTTTTAAAGAATCTGCACCAATACTTAGGTCGTGGAACCTCTAGTCATTTTGGTTTTCTGAGCTCATCCTCTAGTAATTCTTTAGGGAACAGTTGTCTCATCAAATGTTGATATCATATGAAGTGTTGACAATAGTTTATACCCTTTGCACATGACAGTTGATTTTGCTGGATATTAAATCCTTGACTACATTTTTTTCCCTTGAAAATCCTAAACGTCATTCTATTTTCTTCCGGCCAAAAAGTTTTACAAGTCTGGTGATATTCCAGTTTTCTTTTCCATTTTGTAAATATGATAAAACATTAATATCTGTTAAATCTGGGTATCTATTATATTGTATGTTTGAAATAATTCACATTATATTCACCAAATCTAAGATGACCTCAATTTTAAGAGCACTATTATTTTCTGTTTTTATAAAAAATACATTCTAGCTCTGGCTGGTGTAGCTCACTGGATTGAGCTCCAACCTGTAAATCAAAGGATGACTGGTTTGATTCCCAGTCAGGGCACATGCCTAGGTTGCAGGCTAGGTCCCCAGTAGGAGGCACTCAAAAGGCAACCACACATCGATGTTTCTCTCCCTCTCTTTCTCCCTCCCTTCACCTCGCTAAAAATAAATAAATAAAATCTAAAAAAAAAAAAAAAACAACTACGTGCTTCTGATTTAGCAGTTCTCAGACTTTAAATTAAAATACATTCTAATTTTAGGGTTGTTAAAATGCCAAGAATTGTGGGTCTTAGGTGAAGTATACTACGTTTATTTTATGTTGCTAAGTAACAAATTACCATAAACACAGTGGGATAAAAATCACATAAATTTATTAGCTCAAGTTCTGCAGGTAAGAACTGAGGGCACAGCATAGCTGGGTTCTCTGACCAAAGCTTCACAAGGTTGAAATCAAGGTATCAGCAGACTGTGTTCTGATCTGAAGCTTGGGGTGTCCTTCCAAACTCATAGGTTGTTGGCCATATTTAGTTTCTTGCAGCCAACAGCCAACAAGATCCTCAGCAACTAGGATCTTGTTGGCTGTTAGCTGGAGGCCACTCTCAGCAACTAGGAGCCATTCCCATTTGTTTCTATGCAGTCTCTTCCCTCTTCCAAGCTAGCATGGTAGCATCTCTTTCATATCAAATTGCCCTCACGCCTTGACTCTCTTCAGGAAAAGCCATCTCTTTTGAAAATGTAGACAGGCAATATACAAGTAAACAAATAAATATAAACCTGAATGTGATAAATGCTAAAAAAGAAAAAAGAAGTTTACACCTGCATTTCCCTCTGTCTAGAATATTCTTCTGCTAGAGTATCTAGCAGGCCTTGCATAATTTAGGTATTGGCTCAAATTTCACTTTATCTGTAACTACCTGTCTCCCTTCTCCGCAGCTCTCTATCTCCCTTACTCTTTTTTTTTTTACTTTCTTCATAATGTTTACTTTCTGAAATTATTTTTTCATTTATTTTCCACTTTTTGGCTTCCCACAATGAGACTGATGAAATCATTGATCACTATATTTCTATCACCTGATTATTTTTTAGTTATTAGGTCCTAAAGTTTCACAGGCATTCAATATTTAGAAAGGAATGGGGAAGGGGAACTTGGAGGGAAATCAAGAAATTGGCATTATTTGTGGAATGGACCAAAGATATTTATATTAATTAACTTTAGAATAAAGAGAAAAGACAGGGAATACGCCTAGTGCTAGAGCAGAATCCTGCAAAAATGAGACAATTTTATTTTTTTTCACCACCGTAATCAAGTTTACTATTCCAATGGCACTAATGCAGCTGGAGGTGCTCATGATGACATTGCACAAGATTTTCTGCCTTCTAGATTCTGTCCAAACAGACTTGTCTACCTGCTCGCTCCTTCCCCCATCCTGGGGGAAAATCCACTATGGGCCACTTACCCAAATAAACTTCTTAATGTGTTTAATTCCTTTTTGGACATTTGAGTTTCCCTCAAAAATGGAAAAAAAAAAAATGTTGGGTCCCATCTCACCTTTCCTACCAGCTAAATAAGCCCTGCAGCCTGGGCATTTCTGTTGCCTGTAAACGATTTGATTTTAGTAGTTATGTATATGGTACACAGCTGGATTGCAAAACCTGAATGATGACATAGGTGAGCAGCATGAAGTTTTCAGGTAATTGGAGACAATTTTGAGAAAAGAATTGAGAGGCATAAAGGACCCTCCCTCCACACTAGAGAGGAAAATGTTCTAATTAAGTAAAATATCCCATGTTGCAAACGATATAATATGTATGATGTCAAGGCATATGTCAATTTTAAAAATCCTACAGATTTTTTTTCAATTATACACTGTTATTTAGAAAAAAACAAATCCTAATGTTATTGTGTCCCAGTAATTCTTGCTTTTTAAGAAAGGCGAAAGGGGAGTCAATGGAAAGAGAATTAGATGAATGATTCTTAGACATGTGTTCTGGTACTTAGCTGATAGTGACTAGATTCGAAACCAGCTCTTCGACCTTGACCAGGTCACTTACACTGACTGCAAGATCCTTTCACCCACCCAAACGGGAAGGGGGCAAACTGGATGAGATAATGTCATTTACAGCTCTAAAAGTCGCATGATTCTATTAAACCTGTGACAGTGCCTGACAGGCAGTACACACCCTTATCTGCCAAACATAAAACGTCTTAAAATGGAATCCCAGGCGGGAAATCGGCCTTTACCTATTACTAGTCTCTGGTTATTTATTTTAAAAACGAAGGGGTTTCCACATCTTCCTACAAAACCCAAGAATTCTCATACGCAGCCTTATCATTTTGTTGGCTACTGCAATCCTCTGGGCTTGGCTGTGGAGCCAGAGGTGACACGTAACTACTGTTTTGGTTTCACTTAACATCTGCCGAGTCCTTGCCTTAGGAGCGTGGCTCACTGCAGCCACCTGCGGCAAGCCCCGCCCCGCGGCCACACCTAAACCGGAAATCAGTACGCCCCTGTGGTAGACGGGAAGCGGGGCGGGCTGCGCGCTCCCCAGGTCCGCCCCCTCCGGTGATGTCACCGCCCGCCCCTTGACCCCCGCGGTTCCGCCCCCTTCTCTGACTCCTTGTATCCCGCGGCGGCGCTTCTCTGGAGGCAATGGAGACACCCGAGCCTGTGGTCGCACCTCAGGGGGAAGAGGCGTCCTGCTCTTCCTGGGGGGCAGGCAGGTGAGAGGACAATTGTGGGCGCGAAAAAGCGAGGGGTGGCCGGCAGGACCCTGGCACCGGCTTTCGTCTTCTCCCCTTCGGACGAGCGGGGAGCCTGCGAGAGGCCGCGGGGCCGGGGCAGAACCAGCCTAGAGAGGCGGGGGAAGCGCTCGGGGTGGGTGTGGTGGCCTGGGTACCGGCCTTTGCGGCTCCCGGCTTCGCCGAGGAGATAGTCCACTTCTCGCTCCTTTCAGCGCTTCCTCAGTTCCGGTTGGGGTCTACCATCCTTCTTCCTCCCAGTCACCGGACGGAAAGGGTGGCGGGGGAGGGCTCCAGCCGAGAGTTGTAGCCCGACTCTCTTGCTTAGTGTGAGCTTCCCAGTCCTGATGCCTAACACATTCTTCCCTCTTTTCGGTAAAAAGCTGTTTCACTCTGCGTGGTGCTCCACTGAGTTCCTCCTTTGAAAACTATTAGATCACCAGAGGAAACTGGATAATAATGAATCAGTGACACTCAGGACATCCTGAAGACCTCTGTTGACCCGTGGTTTTTGAGGTCCTTCACGACTTACCCACTCTCAGAAAATCAGGGTGGCGGTGGGGTGTTCGTATAGTTACTGTTTCAATCATCCCATAATTAATAAAGCGGATTAGTACATCGTGCCCAATACCAAAATGCAATATGCCAACGCTAGAAGTAGTGGATATAGATTTTGAGCTAAAATGAGACTTCTATAAACCTGTAGCTTTTTCACGAGCTTCGGACTGAAGGGATACTTTTGATACCATGGTATTGCCTGTTGTTGCCAACACTGCCAAATTCACTTGGGGGATATTATGCAGTACAAACAGAAATCCCTTCTTTAAAGCATTTTTAATTGCCATATAGACCTTTCTTTAAAAAATGATTTTCGAACCATTCCAGTAAGGCAGAACTTTCTGAAAAGTAAATGCCAGTCATATTAAGTGACAAAGCTGGCTGGAATTTAGCTCTTCTCATTTTCTTTTAAAAGCTTTACTCACTAGACTTTTTCCTTCTGTGCAAGGAAGACAGCTAGAGAAAGTGTGCTAGAGATCAGAAAACTGTAATACAAAATTTTGTGTTTTGTTCGTATTCTGTTACAATACCAAAACAGGTTATTATAATTTTTATTAGATAACTCATCTAAACAACTCTCTCCTGGCTTGCTTTCATAATTGCAATCAGGAATATTTCTAAAAGTTATCTGTTTAATTAACCAGAAGCTGATATAGTTTAATGGTACCAATCAGTGTTTCGTAAGATCAATGATAAAATTTTGATTAACTATATTTACAAGTCCTTTGGCTTATATATTAATACCTGACCTAAAAAATCGGATTTTAAAACTGAATTTTGTGCTGTCACATCATTTTTAGAATCCTTTAATTGATCATTAGAGCTTCCCAGAACCTGGAAAGAGTTACGCTTTTACTAAGATAACACTGATCTTAGCTGTCACAGGACCAAATGTATCAGGCTTGTCAGGGAACCATCTGTGTTTCTTAATGCTTATATTATTACCATTTTCTTTGTATGCCATGCTGTGAGAAAATTGGGACGAGCTATGGTAAATGTGGATACATCGCTGTAAGTATGTCTTGTCACACTAGTATGGTTAACTTTTAAAATACACTCAACAGATGTTTTTTAAGGGCTTTCTTTATGCCCACCACATAAGAGGCAGTAAGCAGTATAGCCTGGTGCCCAAGAGCTAGACTGCTTAGATTCAGATTCTTGCTCTGCCACTTACCTGCTCTTTTTTTAAGAAGATTTTTACGTTGACCTCTGTCAGCCTCAGTTTGTTGTTGTTTTGTTTTTCTCCTCTGTTAAATGAAGATGGTGATAGTGCCTATTTCATAAAGTTGTTGTAAGGGTTAAATGAGTTAATACATCTGAAGCACTTAAATGATGTGTGTGCAATGTTCACTCATTAAATGCCAGCTCTTTTAGGTATTTGCGATACAATAGTTAATTCTTAATGGAGCACACATTTATAGGGGAAAGCAAACAATAAACAGTTAGTGGTAAGTGATTTGAAGAATATTCAGCAGGTTAATTAATTAGGGAGTGACCTAAAGAGAAAGGGAGCCTTTTTGTTGATAGGGTGATCAGGAATTGCCTGTGTAATATTTGTGAGGGAATATTTTAGTAATTCAGAGATCTGAAGGAAGAACATTCCAGGCAGAGGGAATAGCAAGTGTAAAAATTAAAATGATAGCAAGCTTGGCTTTTTGAAGAACAGCAAGTAGGCCAGCGTGGCTGAAAATAGTGAGCAAGAAAGAAAGTTGCAGGAGTTGACATTGGAGAGGTAATTGGGAGGTAGACCATATAGGCGCCTTTCAGCATGGTAAGGTATTTGAATTTTATTCTTAGAACCAAAGGATAGTTTTAAGTCCGGGAGTAATGTCTTATTATATTCTAAAAGATTTAGGCTGTGACATGGAGAATAAACTGAAGGGGAAGGACCATAGTACATATAGAGAGACTAGTTAGGAAGTCTTTGAAGTAGTTCAGATGAAGTAAGATGGTGGTTTGGGCTGAGCTTATACTGAGTACTAAGACATAATCAGATTTAAGATCTCTTTTGAAGGAAGATCTAATAAGACTCACAGATAGAGAAAATGAGGGAACAAGCTAAGAGGATCCCTGGATTTTTTTGGCCTGCACAAGTAAATGGCTGGTAGTACCAGAAACTGAATTGGGAAACAATAGGGAAGAATAGGTTAAGCAGAGGGAACTGAATTCTGTTTTGGGCTGGTAAGGTTTGTGATACTACTTGGACATCAGAAAAGAGCTATTGTTCTGGCAGATGTGTAAAATCAGGAGATCAGAGGAAAGATCAAACATGGAGAAATAAATTTAGATATCAGTATATGATAAATTCCATGGATTGAGTAAGATTATCTAGGGAGATTGTATTTTAGAGAAGGTTTATGGGGTACTCCAACAAAATATAGACCCAAGAGAATATGTGCACCGATGATACAACAACAACCTGAGAATAAAACAACTATTGGCTATAATTTTGCCATACACAGAGTAGGCAGTCAGTGAATTTAATATTGACCTATTTTTCAAGTCCAAGTAACGTAGTTGATAATAAAATACATATATATCTGGTTTGTAAAACCTCCTTTAGTAACTGGTGAACCTGATCCCATGTATAATTGAGTGTTACCTTAAGCAGGGGTCCCCAAACTTCGGGCCCACAGCAGGAGGTGGGCTTGAATGTAGTGTGCTTGAATCATCCCAGAACCACTGCCCGCCCCCCTGCAACCCCCCAGTCTGTGGAAAAATTGACTTCCAAGAAACTGCTGTCTGGTACCAAAATGGTTGGGGACCACTGCCTTATGGGATGTGAATACTAAATAACCATACTTGCTCTTACAAACTGTGTTTTATTTTTTCAGTACAAATAAACGTTCACCCATCCTGTCAACAGAATCTGTAGAGATTGATGATGCGTTATACAGGTAAGAACTATGGAAACTGAAACTTACTTTCCCCATTCTTTGTTCTCAAATAATGGAATAGTCTATTTGAGGATACCATTAGGCCTGTGCCAAATTTTGAAGATATATCTGAAGAGTTGCTCTTATTAAAATTACGGTTTCCAGGATATCCTTTTAATAACCATATGTTGAAGGGGGTACCCTGTCCCACGAAGTCCCCTCAGCTGCTTTAGATGAGGAAATAAGTCGTACCAGACACTCTAGGTCTGCCTGGAAAAAGGGTGATGATTATTCCTTCTAGTGGAGAATGCCCTGAGCTCTTCTCTTGAAGTGGCTTTTATTGAGAATGTGCAGGGGTATACAGCATGCATGCAAAGGTTATCAATCAATGCCCAAAGGCTATGTTTACAGAAAACAGATAGAGATCATAGATAACAATTGAAGGAACAGCAAAGATTTGCCTCAGGTCAGGGTCTGGTAGGGTGGTACCCGTTCAACCCTGAAACCTGGGGAACTGATCTCCTATGCTCCAGTCCCAAACATCAGTACTCATTAACTCAAGGGCATTCTTTTAGCAAAAAAGTTTCAGAGGATTTAATGCATTCCTTTTCCAGGCCTAATTGCCCCCAGGAACTGCCTGATCCAGTTTATGGCTGTACCTGCCTTTAGTATTGTTTCACTGACCTGGTCAGGCAGGTGGAGCAGAGCAGCCAAGAGATAAGGAGACAGCTTTCAGATAGAATGAAGACTCCGGCCAGGACAAAGCTGAGGGGTGAAGGTCTTTTGACCCTTCTCCAGGTCCCTCAAGTCCTTCCCTGATGGCCCCCATGCAACTGTGGCTGTCTAAGATTGCCCCTGCCATCGAGGGGTCTTACCTGTCATTGACTGACTAGCTATCCTCCGGGGCCAAGCAGGGTGATGTGAGGGAAGCAGGGGGGACAGGTTCTGTCTCCTTGGTGGCCTATTTTCCCAAGGCCTCCTTGCTCAGCTCCAGCCTTCGGGCCCTCTCACCTGTAGGTGAAGCTACAGTCCCTGAAACTAGGCAGGACAGTTCCCAACAATATGTAGCCTACAAGCTAAAATAATTAAATATCAGTTGCTTTAGGCAGTATGAGTAAGAATGCTATCCACTACAAAATACACCTCTTGTTTCTGAACAGGAATACATATTTATGTTCTTGATAGTACAAGAGTCTCATGAAAAACAATCCATTCCCTTTATTTAGTTATATAGTAGCATTTAGAAAATATTTACTTCAGTGTAACCTCATTAATAACATTGCACATTTGCACTACATAAATAGTGGAGAAGTATTGTGTGATTGAAGAGCTGTGGTTTGAATGGAATTTAGAGGGCCATTTTTATACCATACTTTTTCATGAAATCAAAATACTTTTTTTCAAAATTAAAGAGAAATTAAAAACACATGTTGCTGTTACTGCTAAGAAATTTTTTAGTACTTCAAGTTGTTTGTATGTATGATAGTATTATCATACTTAAACTTTGTTTAAAAGTTTTTAGGTTTCCTCTCCATATAATCATGAAAAATAGATTTTACATAGGTACACTCTGGAAAGATAGGTTCATAATGTATTTTGAATTCCTCTTTATATATTTTCATTGTGGGATGCAAAGTCAACATGATTTCAAATCTGTGCACTTAGAAAAAGTGATAAAAGGTTAACTTAATTTTGCTTATGTAAAAATTATTTAACCATATGTTCTCCAGATTATAAATATACTTCAGAAGTCACCTTAAGTTTGGACTGTTAATCTATAATTATAATGTTCTTAATGTCCTTTTGATCATAGACAACAAATGGGATAACAAATGGCAGCTCCTTCAGATAGCATTGGCTAATTTTATTCATTATTTGGTTAAAATCCATGTGAAACTTTTATATTCCTCCAAACCAGAAATTGCTGATTAATAGACATAATTTTCAGTAAGCCAGAGATTAAATTTTCCATTTGCAATGCTATATAAGTAGGCTCTAGTTTACTTGACTGAAAGTTACAGAGTATATCAGTTTAGGTATTGTATATAGCAGTTCATATGTCGTCAGATATTGCTGGGTCATAAGGTAGTTTTGTTTGTTTATTTTTTTTAAGAATATCCATACTGTTTTCCATTGCTTCTGAACCATTTACATTCCTACCAACAGTACAGAAGGATTCAAATTTCTCCACATCTACATTAACACTTGTTATTTTCTGGGGTTTTAGAATTTTTTTGTTTCTTTTGTTTGTTTTATAATGGCCATCCTAACAGATGTGAGGTGATATTGTGGTTTTGCATTTCTCTGATGATTAGTAATGGTGAGCACCTTCTCATAACACACGTAACATTGTGTGTTATTTTGCAGAAATGTCTATTCTAGTCCTTGCTCATTTTTTAATCAGGTTATTTTGGGGCTTTTTTGGTATTGAATTTTAGTTCTGTATATATTTTGGATGTTATCCCCTTATCAGATACATGGTTTGCAAATATTTCCTACCATTCTGTAGTTTGCCTTTTTACTTTGTTGTTTCTTTTGCTACACAGAAGCTTTTTAGTTTGAAGTAGTCCCACTTGTCTACTTTTATTTTTATTAACCTGTGCTTTTGGTGGTGTATTCAGGAAATCTTTGCCAAAATCAAAAGGCTATTTTTTGCTCTTGGCTTTGTCTTTCTTGTCTGAATTTACTGTATACATGGAAAATTTTTAGCCATTATTTTTTCAAATATACTTCCCCCCACTCCCCTATCCTTTCCACTTTCTTTCAGGGATTCCAATTTCACAAATATTCATCAAAGTGAGGTCCCACCACTCATGTATGCTCCATTAATTTTTTAGTCCATTTTAAAAATATTTATTCTATTATTTTTTTCATTACCATTTAGTCCCCTCGTAGCCACCCCCCCCTCTGCAATTACCATACTGTTGTCCATAGTCCACTTTTTCTGTTTTATCTCTTTCATTTTGGAAAGTTCTTGTATATGTATATTCAAATTTGCTTCTGCAGTGTTGAATCTGTTGTTAATTCCATCCAGTATATTTTTCATCGTAGGTTTTATAATTTTTATCTCTAGACATTTTGCTGCTCACGCTTTCCTCTGCCCTCTTGAGGACATGGATTATAATTATAATTGAATACCTTTGGCTAAAAATTGTGTCATCTGTGTCACTTCTAGGTCTGTTCTATTGTTGGTTTTTCTACTCAGTATGAATTGTGTTTTTCTGTGTCTTTGCATTCCTGGTAGTTTTTAATGTATTCCAGACATTGTGAATTTTACATTTTGTGGTACTGGATAATTTTGAATTGTTTTAAATGTTCTGGAACTTTGTTCAGGGACTCAGGTAAGTTACTTGAAAGCAGTTTTATTTTTTCAAAACTTGCTTTTAAGCTTTGTTAGATAAAGCAGCAGAATCTTAAATCTGGGACTGATTTTTCCCCACTACTGAGTGGTATTGTTCAGGTTGTTCTTTCCCATTTATGAGGTTGTTTCCTCATACATGCATGTGCTAATCTTATTTAGCTGATGAATGACTCTAGGAGAATCTGTCACAGATTTCTGTTGGTCTCTGTGTTCATCTCTGCTCACAAATTCTAACCTTGAATGCATAGCCCTGTCTTTTCAATTCAGGAAGACCACGAGGCTCATTTTGGGTTTCCTGTCCTGCACTGCAGCTACGACAGTCCTAAAGTTTACCTTACTTGGTTTTCTTCTCTGATATTACTGTTCTGAGTTACCTATTATCTAGTATCTGAAATCTGTTGTTTCATTTATATTTTCCAGTTTTCATTTAAGGCAGAAGGAGGATTTACATGGTCCCTGTTAATTCACCTTGGCCAGAAGTGGAAGTCTTATGTATATATTATGTAACTCTTATATGCCATTCTTTTTCATGTTTTTCTTTTTTCTGGCATAGGGTTCTTTTCCTTTTTTATTAATTTTTTTTTAACTCCTGTTAAGCCTTCAGAATTTAATTTGGATGAACCTCATTTACAAAGCTTTCCATGACCTCCACTGATAGAGGTAATTATTTCCACTTCTATAGTGCTTAATAATGAATTATTTTATCTCTCACTCCCAATAATATGTCACAGGCATTCTGTTAACTATTTTATATATTTTATCTTACCTAATTTAAACCTCATAGTACCATATGAGGTTGTTGCTTTTATGAGCTCCACAGAGTGCCAGTGCCTGGCTTGAAATAGAAATGTTAATTTATGAATGCATGATGAAGGTAATTGAAGTACATCCAGAAGGAAGTGAGTAGAGTGTTGAGGGGGACTCAAAATGATGTCATTTTGGAATTGTTTAAGGAACTAGAGATGTTTAGCCTGGAGAAAGAAGACTCTGGGACGTAAATACCATCTTCAAATGTTTGGAGGTCTGTCACATAGAAGAGGGATAAGACAATTCCCTATGGCCCCAAGGAGGTAAAATTAGGACTAGTAGGTGAAAATTGTAGGGAGTCATTGGATCTTCATGAAAGAATCTTTAATAAATAGGGCTCTCTAAAAGTAGAGTAGATAGCTTTGGCACTTTCTTTTTACTGGGTACAATCGCTGGTACGTTGCTGTGCATTTAAAAAAGTCAGCTGTAATGTAACAATGCTGGACTTGAAGTTATACTGTAGACTCTTTAAATCTGATCTCTACTACTTACTAACAATATGAATTTCATAGGATCTAAGTTTCAATTGCGGAGTGTCTGACATTGCCTAGCACAAAGTAGGCACTTAATTAGTACACTTCCTCTTGGTGGCCAAACATTGAAAAGATGTTACGAATTTTCAAAGGTGATTTAGAGAACAAGAATCTTTCTGAGAATATACGATTTTTTTTGAAAACCTTGGTTTGTATATATTAATTTATTCTTTTGTCCTGTATGTTCTCTGCCGTTTATAACCACAGCTATACCATGGGTATTCATTATTTGCCTAAGCTTAAAAATAAGTTTTGAGGGCAAGTCAAGATAAAAGCATATTTTGTAATGTAGCTCTTGTGACTTTGAACACAGAAACAATTCAAACCTTGTGCTTACTAGAGCATACATGTATTGTTCCTGTGTGCCAATCATTTCTTTCGTTAATTTAGCAGTTTGTTCTTGTGTTTCTATAATATGCCAGGCCCTCTCAGTCACTGGGGATACAATAGTAAATAAGGCAGGGGTCCTGCCATAATGAAGACAGTCTTTGAGGAAAAAAAATAAAAAATTGTGAAAATACACTGTGATATAATAGATTGAATGTAGGATGTTATGGATGCACGTAAAAGATGATCCAACGCTGTCTTGAGAAACGGGTGTCTGGTGAAACATGATGGGGGGAAATAAGGTATAAGCGGAGACCTGAGGACAAGTAGAAGTTATTCAGGCGTAAAATATTGGAGGGTAGGAATACTCCAGAAAAATACCTACCAGATAAAGAAAATGTACCACGTTAGAGAACTGAAAACCTTTGGTACATCTGGAACATGAAGTTTGGTAAAGGGGTGACAAAAGATAAGACTAAAGAGCCAAGTACAGAATAGATTATAAATGGCTACCGGACTACTGTTAGAATCTAAGCTTTATTGTAAGGGAAATAGTAAACCATTGGAATTTTTAAAGTAGGACAATGATTTGGCCAGATTTGCACTTCAGAAAGATCATTCGTCTTTCTTAGTAGGCTGTTAATAGTAATAATGTAAAACTTAAAAATCAAGAAATAAAAGTGTAAACAGGTTACTGAGAAATAAGGGGGTAAATATTAGAAGAAATAACTGAAAGAATTGAGAGTGGCTGTCCTTGAGGAGCGGGAATTGGGGTAGGAAAAAGTGAAGTCAGGGAACAGATTTTTTTTTTTCCTCCTTTAAATCACTGTAGAGTGATTTTATTTTTCTTAATCTACTTGTAGTATAGCATAGTGGTTAAGAGTATGGATGCAAAGACCAGACTGCCTAGATTGAAATTTGCCTCCACTATTTATAAGTTACTTAATTTCCCTGTGCTTAAGTTTTCCTCTTTGTAAAAATGGAAGTAATAATAGAATTTATCCCTAGAATTATTGTAAGGATTAAATGAGTTAATACAAGTAAAACTAAAACAATGTATGGTGCATAGTAAACATTCAGTATGTGTTAAATATCAGCACTATTCAAGTATTGATATGCAAGGAGAATAGACAAATTTACAGTCATGGTAGGAGATTTTTTTTTAATGTTGCTTTTAGTAATCAAGAAAACAAGCAGATGAAAAAAATGAGAATAGGTTTAGATTTCATCAACATGATTATTAAAATTAATCTAAAGCCTATGTAAAGAATGTTTTATCTAAAAGCTATAGCATACACATTCTTTTCGAGAACACATTGAACATTTGTAAAATTGACCAAAGAAATCCTCAAATACGAAACAGTGAAATCATAGATTGTGATGTCTATTCACTGCTTTTGATCTAGAAGTTAACACAAAAGACAATTAGAAAATTCCCCATAACATTAGAAATTTAAAAATATACTTTAGCCCACAAGTTAAAAAATAATCATAATTAAAATTAGAAAATAACAAGACTACTGTATCAAAATTTGGGATGCTGTTTTAAGATCAAAGTTTTTTAGGGAAAAAATTTGAAAATAATAAGTTTTTGTTTCAGGAAACTAGGAAATAAGAAAACGGAAGCATAGACTTAATCAGCATAAGAAACATTTCAAAGGCCAAGTTTACAGACACCAGCCAAAGGCTGGGCCTGAAGCAGACTAAAGTTCAGGTGTATTATGTTAACTTTTTCCTGCACATTAAGGATGTGAAACTACAGGGTCTCTGATAGACTTCCAGAACGGGATAGTAGATTGCTGCACCCTCTTTGGAAAACAGTTTGTCATTACCTAATAAAGTTACTCTTGCATTTTCTCTCTAGCATATGCACTATAGAAACTATAACACGTGTACCGGGAGACATAGGAAAATACTCATGGACTTATTACTGGCAAGTGTTCAAAACTGTAGAATAGCTAAATGATGGTATAATACAGTAAAATGGTAAAATACAATAGAATACAGTAGAAAGGAACGTGAAGAGCTACACATTGATATGAATATATCTTATAAATACAATTTCATTCAAGAAAAGCAAGATACAGAAGAAGGTATTCAAAATAATCCTATGTATAAACTTCCAAAACAGGCAAAACTTAAATATATTTTTCAAGGGTACACAAATAAATGAGTAGTAAGGATATATAATACATTGTTTCATACATTCCAGAGGTGTTCAGTATTTGATGAATAAATGGATAGTTTTTATCTCTGAAATAAATTGTGAATATCAATTTCAAAAGAAAGTTTAGGTTTTATTGTATTTTTCAGGGAATAAGGAAGGAAATAAAGATAGCTTGTGTTTCTAAAGTTTCTTCTGACTAAACAAGAAACCCCTTTCTAGACATTTTTATTGAATGTGAATAGCTGAAATATGGAAACTATATAAACACATATATTAAACAAACATACGTTAAACCTGTGTGTGTGAGAATTCCAAAAGGGTTAGGTTGCTTTACCCTGGCTGGTGTAGCTCAGTGGATTGAGCGCTAGCCTGCAAACCAAAAGGGTTAGGTTGTTTTCAACCCAAAGGGTTCTGAAATTACTTATTATCTATACTGAACTCATCTGTCAAATTATTCTCATAAGAATCCATTGGAAGGTTCTGACTGGGCTCAGTTGGTTAGAGCATTGTCCAGATACACTAAGGTTGAGGTTCAATCCTTCGTTCACGGCACATACAAGAATCAACCAATGAATGCATTAACAAGTTAACGTTCATGTGTGTGTTCCCCTCTCCATCTGTCCCTTTCTCTCCTTTCCCTTCCTTTCTAAAACCAATAAATAAAATTTTTTTAAAGTATCCTCCCAAAAAATAATCCATTGGAATGTCCATTATCTTCAAAAACTGTTGTGGTATCAAATGTATCACTGTTTTTCTTTCAGATAAACTCTTACTACTGCTTTTATTACTGTGTTTAACTTTAAAAGTTGCCAATGTGTATTATTTGAAATTCCCATCCTGATACTGACTTGTGGCTGTTAGGATAGGCGACTTAACAAAGTCCTTTAGAGGTATACTTTATGGGTTTTTATAATTAAAATAATATTTGAAAACTGCTTAATTTTAAATCATCTAAACTCCAAGGAGGGAACCAATTGTTTGCTTCAGAGATTCTTACAATGAAAGACTTAAACTGGAAATGGCAAACTCATGCCTGTGGTGGCCACTGAGGTAATAAATAAAAGGAGCAGGATGGCAACCGTGACAAGTCTAGAGCACACAGTCCTCCCTGTCTAATTAGGCAACTCCTACCCAGCTCTGTCGGTTGCCATAAGAGAACGTGGACCTTGGTGCCAAATCTTCTTATTTTTCAAAATGTGTCCTATATTTAGCAATTAATTCAGAAAATGTAAACACTATGCAAGTGATCCAAAATAAGTCTATGAGCAGGATCTAGTTGCCAGGCTGTTTGCAAACAACTTTAAAGGAATATATAATTTTAATGAAGTAATTTTAATTTATTTTTTCTTGTTTTTTACATGCAGTCGACAGAGGTACGTTCTTGGAGACACAGCAATGCAGAAGATGGCCAAGTCCCATGTTTTCTTAAGTGGTATGGGTGGTCTTGGTTTGGAAATTGGTAAGCAGTGATTTTTATTCATAATTTTATATGACACTTTTAAGCAACATAATTTAAAAATTTAACACCTTTCCCATGTATTGCTTCTGTAAAGAAAATTAGATCCAAAACTTTGATCAGACTTAGTTTTGATTCTTTTGACAAGACTACTTCACAATGCTATTATATTCTTCCACAAGGAACCAGTCATGACTCTCTTGGTTCTCTTTTTTGTGATGTTAATAGCCATTAATGCTGATTCTCTGTATGAATTCATTATGGTATCATTCTCTGTACTTCATTATGATAGAGCCCACATACATATATTCATAGCAATACACTAAAATTTTAAGAGTGATTATCTCAGTGTGATATGATTATGTAAAATTCTAATTTTTCTTTATTGTTCATCTGTATCTTTTAAGAGACTTGTATTTCTTAAGTAGTGAAAAAGTTAAAATTGTCTAGTCAGAGATAGGATCAAGCCCTGTGAAGGCATATCGATTATATATTCCTTTTTCTTTTTTCTTTATAGCCAAGAATCTTGTTCTTGCAGGAATTAAGGTAAGTTAGTAAATAATGTCCTTAATAAGAGGAATTACTTCTGAACTTTTTTTTTTTTTTGCTTATCAGTAGTGGTAATACTGTTTATACTTTGACCTAATTATTGCTTTTTCATTTAGTAGCAAAATTGTTTTAATGCTCTACTTGACTCTTCTTTAAAAACTTTGTATTATAGAAAATTTTTTTAAATTATGCAAAAACAGAATAGTTTTAACAAAACCTCATATACCCATCATGCAGCTACAGTTATCAATTCATAGACAAATTTAAATTTGTTTCAATATCTCCTCCCCATTCCCCGCTACCACCTAATTACCAAATTCTTTTTGTCTCAGACATCCTGTTATATCATCCTTAAATACTTAAGTATATAGCTCTAAAAGATAAGGATGCCTTTGAAAATATAACCACAATATCATTTTCACACCTAAAAAATGTATAATAGATAATACAATAAAATTAATGTATAATTTTAGTTACCTATTACTGCAAAATAAATTACCCCAAAACTTAGAACTTAAAATAACAGCACCTACTTCAATTTTGGGGGGGGTCAGGAATCAGGCACAGCTTAGCTGGTTCATCTATTTGAGGGTCTTTAATAAGGCTCCAATCAAAAACTGGCAAGGCCTCTAGTCATCTCAATGCCAAGGTAAGATCTGCTTCCCAGGGTCACTCAGTTATTGACAGGATTCAGTAGCAAGGTTGTACCACTTCACACCACAGTTCTTTGCTGGTTATTGATCAGAGGTCACTCTCAATTCTTTGCCATGTGGCCCTCTCCATAGAGAAGTTTTCATCATCACAGTAAGCTAGCAAGAAGACAAGAAAGGGAAAGTTCTGAAGAGAAAAATCAGTTATTTGTAACCTAATTTCAGAAGTGACATTCCATCACTTACTCTGTATTCTTTAAAAGCAAGTCACTACGTTAAAAAAAAAAAAAAAAGGTCACTAGGTCTAGCATACACACTCAAGGGGCAGGAATTACACAAGTGCCTGAGTACAAGGAAGTGAGAATTACTGGGGTCATCTTGTAAGTGTGCCTGCCACAATCATCAAATAACCTGGTTAGAGCTCAGATTTTCCCAGTTACCTTATGATTTTTTTTTAAAAAATGTTTTTTGTTCTAATCAGGATTCAGTTAAAGCCCATGCACTAAACTTGGTTTCTTTTAATGTATGCATTTCCCTTCCCTGATTTATTTATCATGTTATTTATCATGTGTAATTCTTTGTATTTGTAAATTGGTAATTCTTTGTATTTATTACAAAGAATTGGTAATTCTTTGGTAATTTCCAATTTGGTAAAATTCTTTGTATTTCCTGTAAATTGGTAATTACAAAGGGGGACCCAAAAAAAACCCAGAATTATCTTCTGGAGGGCAGGCCTCTTGTAGGACAGACAGGCTTCCCCAGCTAAGTGTTCTAGAAACCCACCAGTATCAGTGTACCAGCTGGAGTTGTTGTGAGAGGCTAAGTTCAGCTTCAGTAAATTTTTTTGAAGACATTTTCAGTGTATTTGCCTGTTTCATGATGAGTGATTTATGAGCGCACCGTGCTGAATATTCAACAGTGTTTGACCAAGAATGGCAAGGTCCCGTACCTCACCCTCCCTATTCACCGGGTCTCACTCTGAGCAGCTTTTCTTTGTTTTTCCGGATGAAAAAAGTCCTTATAAGAAAACATTTTCCCCTGATGTGGAAGAGGTGAAACAGAAGTGGTAGAAGCAGTAAAAGGCATCAATAATGATGCGTTCAAAAACCGTTTTGAGCAGTGGATAAAACATCTTAATAGGTGTATTACATCAAATGGAGAGTACTTTGAAGGTGATTGAAGTTTAAGCATGTAAAAACAAATACACATTTTTTATAAATTCCAGTTTTTGGTGGGGGGTCCCCCTCATATATTCAGACAAGCAGATTTATATTTGATTCTTTTGGCACTATTCACAGGTGATGTCATGTTCTTCCATCAGGAAGAAATAATATTCTGTTGTCTCTTTGTGGTTATTACTTGCTATTAAAGATTATTGCCTAGATTCACTATTCATTAGGGGTAGTGATGCTCTAATTCTATCATTTTTTCCCTTCACTTATTAGTTGGAATAATATTTTAGAAAGAGTTTTTTATTCATTATGTATTTGGTTCCACTAAACTGTACACATATGAAAAGTAGGATAAATTAATTTGATTTGATATTTCCCCCTTTATTATGTTTTCAGATCAGTGGCCTGCAATGGCCAGTGAACGTGTGTGTGTGTGTGTGTGAACATGTGAACATTCTGATAAACATCAATTTAAACATATTTAATATGTTTTGATCCATTGTAGTTGTTATTCTCATTAATGCCCAAATTGTTTTATCATTGCTTTTTGGGATCTTCAAGTTCTTGAGTCGAAAGAATACCCCAGTATTCTTTGTCACTGATTGTAAAGTTTTTTCAGTATAACAATTCCAATGATATTAATTATAACAATATTACTATTGAAAACAGTTTAAAGTTGTAGTTTTGTTTGTTGTTTTCTTTAGAATATACCCTGTCTGGATTTGGCAGAGAAATTAATGGCTTTTTAAGTCACTTTAAATAATTCGTATGTATAGTTATGCAGCAAATTCAATAGATAGTTTTGTCTATTTATTTTGGTTTGGATTTTTAGGGATTGCTTTTTTTTAATTTAACTTTGTTAATATTATGTGAGACTTAAATACTTCAAAGTAAAATTTATAAAACAAAGTATATTCAGTATACTTTGTTTCTTTGTATACGTCTCTGTATCCTATATCCTTCTTTGCTTATTAGGTCACCTCCATTTTTTCCCCCGTTTTTCAATATAAGCAGTAGTCTTTTTGTATTTTTTCCGGTGTGTCTTTGGGATAGATTTTTAAAGGTGGGTTTGCTGTATAAGTATAAATGCACACATGTTATTTTGCTAGAGATTGCCAAATTCCTCTCCACTGAAGTTGTACCACTTGACGTTCCACCACTGACATGTGATAATGCCTGATTCACATCATACTCACCAGTAAATATATTGTCAAACTTTTGGATTTATGCCACTCTGAATTAGAGAAGGTGTTTCATTCTTGAGTAAGATTGAACATGCTTAAATATTTTATAGGACCAAATGCATTTTTTTTTTTAGTATAATCCATGTTGCTATACTATGCCCCCATTTTTAAGTTAATATTTGTGGCCTGTAATACAAGCTAGAAAAGTTTTTCCAGTTAGTCATCTTTCTTCAAACATGGAACATTTGGAAATGTTTATGTTAATTTTTTAAATTTTTGTATGTTGATTTATATAGCATCCTACTTTTCCTAAATTTAAATTCTCTTACTCTTCAAAGTAGTTTCTCCCTTAATTTCTGAGTTTCCAGAGTATAGTTATTTCATCTGTAAATACATCTAATTTACATCCTTTCTAATTCTTAAGCTTTTCGTTACATTCTGTTGCCTAATTACAGAGGACAGTACTTTAATATAATGTTAATAGTGGTGGCAATAGTGAACACCCTTGTCTTATTCTTGAATTTAACAGATATTTTCTTCTTTTTTGAAGGCACTTACAATTCATGATGTAGAAAAATGCCAAGTATGGGATCTAGGAACCAACTTCTTTCTCTGTGAAAATGATGTTGTTAATATGAGAAACAGGTGAAGATATTTTGATGTATTATTGTAGGATTTATTTTTTTTAATTCTTGTAATTACTTAGAATGCTATCTGTTTCCAGAATACTAGTTCGGGCATAGTTGTTTGACTCACCACTGTAAAGTCACACTACTATCAATAAATAAGTATTGACATATACTTACTCAATTACTTACATTTGTCACATTTTTAATACATTCACATTGCTACCTAGGAATGAACTTCTTTAAGATTGTTAAAGGGGGTTTTTGTAATTGCTAAATCATTAAAAGACTTAAAAGAATTGGGTTCTTGAAATTATAAGGGTACACTTTGAGATTGTGTCATACTAGGAATACAACAGTATGCTCATTCTCAAGATTGTGTAGTTATCTATAAATATAAATAAGTTGCAGTGTGTTTCTTCTTCTAGTTTATTAAATGTCCAATGAAATTTTGTAACATTCGGATTTCTCAGATGTCAAAGTGTCCAGGATTGAGAGATTGAATATATTGAACAAAATAATACTAAAGGTCTTTTTTCCCCCCTTAGGGCTGAAGCTGTTCTTCACCATATTGCAGAACTAAATCCATACGTTCATGTCACATCATCTTCTGTCCCTTTAAATGAAACCACAGATCTTTCCTTCTTAGATAAATACCAGGTTGGTGCTCCATTATATATTAGATATTATTGACAGATTTCAAGGCAAGTCGATATGTATTAATGTGATATAACTATTGAGCAGAAGAAAAAAATTCAGGACAAAAGACTTCCTTTAAAATAATACCTTTCAAATGCTTTGTTTTAGGCAAAGGGCCTATGAACCTCTGACAAAACAATTATATCAGTCAGCTATTTTCACAGTAACGTGCATAAAAAAACTACCCTGAACTCAGTGGTTTACAGCAACATACATTTCTTTCTCTATTATGTATTTGCATGTCAGTTGGTGTTCAGCTGTTCTAGGATGAACTTGAACTCCAGAGTCTGGGTTGTGCTCCATGTGCCTCTCTTCTGGGACCAGGAGGCTCCCTAGGACATGGTCTCATGGCAGTAGCAGAAATGCAAAGGGGCAAGTCCAACTATCCAAACATATGTCAAGCCTCTGATTGCGTTACTTCCTTTAATAATACATTAGCCAAAAGCAAGTCACATGGTCTAGCCTGAAGTCAAGGAGCTAGAGAGTATACTCTTCTCTTCCTAAGACCATGGGTAGAAGGTGATGTATAATTCAATTACGGAAAAGTAAAAAACTGTGGATCTGCCTTACATAAACTTAAATAACAAAAATACTCAGCACTGTGGATATTCTAAAAATGACTAGACTGATCCTGAATTTCCCTGTTTTTAAATTATGATGTTACCAGTCGTCTAGGAAAACACATTCCTGTGTTTCTCCTCTATTCTCAATACTTCATTGAGGCACTTGTATGACCATATGTGTGTCTGTTTTTTCCCCCACGACAAACAGTTCCTCAACAGGGACACATAGCTTGGTGTCCTCCATTTAATTTAGTTCTGTTAAACAAAATTCAGCTGAGTACATTTGAAGGTCTAAGTGATTCATAAATTGGGTAGCATCCCATATTGGAACTAGAATGGTCTGGAAGGTGTACAAAATGAAAGGTTTTAATAGGAAAAAGGGTAGGGCAAGAAAATTATTAACAGAAGAAAAGTAGTGTTAAGATGAAGTTGAAGTTAAGACAGAGAAAGAGAATTCATTCTATGTGAAACTACTGGAGCCAGTATGCCTTTTATCTTTTTAATTATGTCAGCCAGTAAAGTGCTTATAAGATTTTAGGGGGGAAAAAATGATTATTTTTCAGGCCTGGACATCTTTTCTTTAGGGAAAGAGGAGGGAAGAGTTTTTATAATAGAGATTTCCTCTCTCTGTGGGGGCATGGAGAGGTCCCACTTGACAGGTTACATTTCAGACACAGGTTGATTAAGGTTATGTTCCTGAGAGAGGTTGAAACTGCAATTATATCAAATATTAATACTAGGTGTGGCATCATGGGCTTTTAGCTCAAGTGACACATTTTGGGCCTGTGGTTTTTCTCTTTAACAGTTCTAAAACTACCTGGAAAAGATGGTGTCAGATCCCACAGAGTAAGGGCCCAGTCCCACAAGAACACCCCCTTTCCCCCTTCTAATGCCAATCAGAAGTCCAGATTGTTACCTGTGCTTTTGAGGGCTAGCCATAAGTCAGAGGATCCAACAACCACCCCCTTTCTTCCATTCTGGTTCAGTTAACTTGCCAAGATTGCTCAGAGAACTAAGAAAAACAGGTTACTTGCTAAAATTATAAAAAACCTTAACTCAGAAACAGTCAGGTGGAAGACAGGCATAGAGTGAAGTTTGGGGAAAGGGACAGAGTTCCTGTTTCCTCTCCAGGTATGTCACCATCACAGCACATCCACATGTCCAGCTGGAAAGTTCTGTGAGCCACCATTCGGGGATTTTTATGGAGGTTTCATTGTGCAAGCATGAACGATTAAGTCATTGCCCATTAGTGATTAATCTCCAGCCCCTCTCTGCTACCAAGGGGTCTGGGGTAAATGACTTTTAAAGTTCTGTCCCTAGCAACCAGGCCCCACCTTTAGGAGCTTTCCAAAGTCACCTCAATAACATCGACTCAGGTGTGGCTGAAAGGGGCATATTGTCAATAACAAAAGATACTTGTGGCCCTGGCTGGGTAGCTTAGTTGGTTAGAGCATTGTCCTGATCGTCCAGGGTTGCCGGTCAATCTCAGGTCAGGGCACATGCAAGAAGCAATCAATGGATGCATAAGCAAGTGGAACAACAAATTGATGTTTCTCTCTCTTTCCCTCACTTCACCCCCGCCCCCACTCCCCATTTCCTCCTCTTTTTAAAATCAATATAATAGAAAAAATTTAAAAAGACATTTGTTTCACCTTTATCACTGTGCAGCTATTTCAAGATATGAGACAAAATATGCCCCTATAGCTCTTACATAGGAAATTATAAGAGTTTTAGGAGGTATGTGCCAGGAATCTTGGATGATGACAAGAATATCTATTCGTTGTTATAATAACAATGTCATATCAAATCCATCCTGCTACAAAGATTCTTAATAAACTTCCTTCAATAGAATTGCCTAATAAACTACCTTTTAAATGACCATCTGAGCTCAAAATAGCGGAAGGGAAGTGTTCAGATACCAAAAAGAAATAGGTAGCTGAAAGATAGCCAGTGAACTATTATCTGTTGTGGTCACTTTCAGGGACAGGGGTTGTCTGCTTAGTAACCACATTTCTTAGGAATTAATGGTCATGCAGAAACAGAAAGTACACAGTAGATCTGCATGAGATAGCCAAATGAAATGGAGACCTACTATCTTTTTTTAAAGCTGGAACTTCAGAGAGCTACACCCTCAGTGAAAGGGGGGATAAGAACGATCTTTGCCCATCAGAACAAGAGTCTTGTCTGTTTCCTCAAGTACTGGATGAAAAATAAAGATCTTCCTTCGGATTTTGTAACCACAGGCCTGCCCTCCCATCAACTTTCTAAACAATTGTAAAATTCCCCAAGCTGAGAACTTAAAGTAAAAAGTATTATAGTACTAAGCTGGTAATATCCCAGAATAGCACACAAAAATTAAAACTAAATAGATCTAGAGGAATCCCTTGACCAGACTACGGTATCTTCCAATTTATAAACCCCTTTGAAGATGAGTTCAGAATAACAAGACAGTAAAAAGCAATTCAGCATGATCAAGAGCCAGGAGATGTAACAAACAAGAGAATTAAACCTCCAAGAATTTTAAATAATAGAATTATTGGATAGATACTGTAAAATATAGATGTTCAAACTAACTAAATCTTAAAAGAAGGGATTAAATATACATTAAAGTAAGACACTGTTGAAAATAATCAGGCAGATGTGATTAAAAAACCAAATAGAACTTTTAGAAATGAAAGTATAAAGATTAAACTTCAGTGAATAGGTTAAACTGTGGATAGATTAGTGAATTGAAAGAGAAATTACTAAGATTACTGTACCCAGAAATAAGGAAATTTGAAAAATAAAAGAAATAAGAGCTTAAATGAAAAGGCCAATTCACGAGATTAGATTTCTAAAAGGAGAACATTAGGAAAAGGTAACATTCAAATAAATTCTCCTCTCCCCCCCAGCATTTATTTATTTATTTATTTATTTATTTATTTATTAAATACATTTGTCTCTGCCTCCTCCCCACCACTTTCCCTTGCCCCCTCCCTCCTTCCCTCCCTCAGCTCTTCCCCTTTGGTTTTGTCCATGAGGCCTTGCTATATGTTCCTTGACTTTCCCCTTCCCTTCCCTTTCCCTTCCCCCGCCTTCCCTCTTGTCTCTGTTGATTTATTTTCCTTTCAGTGTTGCTGGTCATATTTTCCTCGCATCTTTGTATTGTTGGTTAGGTTCCGCTTATAGGTGAGATCATATGGTATTTGTCTTTCGCCCCCCTGGCTTATTTCGCTTAGCATGATGCTCGCGACAGCATGGATGGAACTGGAGAGCATCAAATAAATTCTTGATAATTTTATGGCATTGATGAAACAAATTAGATTCAGTATATACATAGTTAGAACTTGATTTTATTCTGTTTACAAGCTAGGTTAACATACTACTACTTGATGAACACTGGCAAAATATATTAGATTCTTGGGTTACAGACTTAAGGACTTTACTGTTCAGAGCATGGCAAGAAGTATGAGCATTGTATTTGCCTTTTTCCTCTTGCCTTTCCCCAAATCCCACTAGTGAAGCGCAGAGGGCACATGTAGTGTGTCCCTTTAGGGGAGAGGAACACTGAGCTTGGGCTTACTGTTTTATAGCAAACAGTCAACAAGCTTGTTTCTTTTTCCCAGAGGGAGACATTACCTCATTCCTTAAGTTGCATGAGACAAGTACTATCCTGAGAAACAGTGCAAGTAAAAAATGTTCAGAACCTTGCATTTATGGTATACGTAGTAGGATATATAAAAACTAAGAGATCCTTGGGAAAAATATCTCCTTGCAGGAAGCACTCCATATTCTGAGCTAGATAAATAAAACTAATACCTGGATATTTGTTGTAAAACCAAGTTATGCATGTCATAAAAATCAGAAGCAAGGAAAGTTCTGGAATAGGAGTCTAGCTGTGCTTTTGCCACTTGATAAACAAATGATCCTAAGAAAGTTTTTGATCTTTTTCACTCTAACTTACGATAAAATCTGATAATAAACCTTTCTCTACTTATCTCACAGGGTAATGAAAAAAAAAGTAAGCATTGAAAATTATATTTTGGTATTTATTACAGAACTTGGTAGTTTTGCTAATGAAACTGTCATAAAGCAAAAGAAGTTAGGTTGTGAATCTCTTGAATCTCTGAAATAAAGCAAAGCTAAGCCAACTAGTATACCCGTATCTCTTTAAAAAGTGTTGTTATTATCCTTTGAAGCTTGCATTAATGTTTTGGTGACTAGGTTAGTGTTTTCATGGCAGTGGCAGACAAAACAAAATCTCCAACCATTTAGAGTGCATAAATACCATGTAGGAAATGAAGATTTGCTTCTAATTGTGAAGTCTGTCACGGTAGTTGAATTTAATATGAGTAGATTTTCCCCAGTCTATATTGTTTTTACTTTGGTTATTCCATACCTCTGAAGACATTAACCTTAGAATGGAATACAATAGGAGAGGTGTTTTTTTTTTTTACAAGGAAAACAGTGTATTTTTACCATAATGCAAACTGAAAAGCTTCTGATTTAAAAGTTGTAATTACCAAAGTAATTGTATATGCTCTAGTTTTTAATTTCCTGTTTTCTTTCTCAACAGTGTGTAGTATTGACTGAGATCAAACTTTCATTGCAGAAGAAAATCAACGACTTCTGCCGTTCTCAGTGCCCTCCAATTAAGGTAATAGGACCAGTTAATAGTGACTTGTAGTTAACCAAAGGAAGAACACTTTCACTATCAGAATTTCTAGCTTTTCAGTGGGTTATATAAGATCTTTTTATATGACAGCAAGCACAATAATATTTTTCTCTTTAATTTTGATATCAATTTTGTTCTATTTTTAAAACTAAGGTCTAAATTTGGTTTATGAGCAGATTGCCAAAGCTAAAGAAGAATGAAGTTTAAAAATAGAAAGGATGATGAATACTGAATTCATCAGCTAACTTTAAATATAGGATGATGGTGGTTTTTAAGAGGTACCTTGGTTCTTTTAACAAATACTCTTTGAGTATATACAGTTCTAGACACTAGGAATACATCAGTGAATAGGACATAACAATTTTTCCTACTTGTAAAAAATACCTTCTAATAGGGATGGTGTACTTACATGGTGCCCAACCTTTTGGCATCTCTGGTCTACACTGGAAGAAGAGTTGTGTTGGGCCACACATGAAATACACAAACACTAATGAAAACCAATGAGCAAAAAAAGGTTTTAGGTAAACTTAGGATCTTGTGTTGGGTCGCATGCAGCCCATGGGTCACAGGTTGAACACCCCTGGAACAAGCAAATAAATACATAGTTCCAAGTCCTAGGAAGAAACAAACTAGGTAAAGGATAGAGTATAATTTTCTCATGATGTCAGGACGGGAGCCAGTCTCTTGGATTGCATGTCAGGGAAAGTCCTCTCTGAGGAGAAGATACTTGAATTAAGCCCTGAAGAATGAGAGAGAGCCAGCTATGGTACACATCTGCATTCAAAGCAATGAGAAGTGCAAGCATAAAGACCTGTAAGTGTTAAAATTGACTTGGTGTGTTTGAGCAACAGCAGGCAGCAAAGCAGAACCACAATGGGAATTTGGGTGGAAAGGAGAGAGTAAGTACAAGATACCATATTAGGTTGGAGAAGTAGTCAGAAGACCATTTTCTTATAGATTAGAGTTGAGGATGTCTTAATTTTAAGACTGAGTTTTGATTTAATGTAGATTTTTAAAAGATCACTCTGATTGTGCTGTATGGAGAATAGACTATAGGAGTAGTTTTTGAAGTGTGGTCCAAGGACACTGAGGGCTCCTGAGACTCTTTCATGGGGTCTTCTGGTGTCAAACTATTTTCATAATATTATTAAAATGTTATTTGCCTTTTTCATTCTGATTCTCTTACGTGACGCGGTGGAGTTTAGTTTCCAGTCTTTGATGTGTACTGATACCCTTCCTCTGACAGCTAATGTGGCGAGAGGGAGGGAGGAAAGGGAGGACGGGGGGAGGGTATATATATTGTGTTGTAAATGTTTCTCAGTTTTAATTTCTAACAGTAAATATCAATAGGTGTAACCCATATGAACAAAATTTTTTGGGGTCCTCAGTAATGTTTAAGAACATGAAATGGTCATGAAACCAAAAAGAAAGACAACTGTTGAATTATAAGAGTAGAATAGAGGTAACTACGCCAGTTAGGAGCTAATGCAGTAATCCAGGTGAAAGATACTGGTGCCTTATTCAAGAGAGGTGTAAATAGGGATTGTGAGAAATTGCTGAATTTGAGATATCTTTGGTTTAAAAAAAAAAAAAAAGGCTAACAGAACTTGAGAATGGATCCATGTGAGCTATGAAGGAACGAGTGATCAAGAATAACTCCTAGCTTTTGCTCCAGATTAATTAGATAAGTAATGTGACAATGGCAATACTGGAAAGAGATTTAGATAAGGAACACCCAAAACTCTTCCTCTACAATTGAATACACATTACTTACTCCATCTCCTTTGAGGGGTCATTTGTTAAGGAAAAGGCTCTTTGTTCCTTTGAGATGGGCACTAAGCCATAATCATAATGTATAAAATGTGCTGAAAATTTTTGGATTGTGGTGTTACATGGCATATTACACTTTGTCGAATGTTTGTGCTCTGGTTCACAATTCCAGTTAAGCAGATGAGTAAGACAGAATGGTCAGTAAACTTAAAACAAGTCACAGAAGTTTTACAAAATCATGGTAGTTTATAAACTAAAATCCTTGTTTCTATAGTTGATACATATATTTATATTATTAAAGTAGTTTTGAAAAGGGAGAAATTGTCCCTCAAGTTTGAACTTTTAAACTTGAAAAAAAGTTCTGCTCAATTTTATGTCTCACAAAAACAATTTCTTTATAGATTTAGAATGGAGAAGAGAGTGTTTGTAATAAAAATCACTTTCAATAACACATTTGTAATTCAGTTTAAGAATCTGATTTTTACCCTTCATGGTGTTGATACACACTCTCAGTTCCTCAGCCCCTTTTCTATTGACTCTACTCTCAGCTTTTAGCTCTGTTCTATCTTTCATTAACTGTACTGCTCTTGGTGAAAACACTCCATCTTTTATGAAATAAAAAGTAAGACTTCACTGCCAGACCACTAAACCAAGATATCTGTTTCTTACATATTGTGCTTAACTTGTAGGGCAAGATGGGAATTTTATTTCAAAATCATAGAATGTATGATGATTATGTACTGATGTTGCGTCTAATTTTGCAACATTAGATATCTAATCCAAATACTAAAATCCTTGATTCCTAAACCAATTTACTGATAAATAATTTGTCCTGTTCATGTTTTACTCTATATTCCCAAATGATATATTTAATTATAATTGAAAATGTCATTAAAGGGCCTGGGATAGTTGGGCTCGGGTTTTCTTTCTTTATATAAATAGATAAGCTTGAGCTTATTTTTACCATTATACAGTTCATCAGTGCAGATGTACATGGAATTTGGTCACAGCTGTTTTGCGATTTTGGTGATGAATTTGAAGTTTTAGATACAACAGGAGAACCACCAAAAGAAATCTTCATTTCCAATATAACGCAAGTATGATTATATACGTATGTTATTGTATGTGTATAGGATTTATTTTTTAAGTTGATGTGAATAAAATTTTTAAAACGTGGCATTAGAAAAATACTTGAATATGCAATATTTTTTCCGTTGTTTTACAAGATTTTAAGGTAATTCATGAGGGAATATTTTGTTGATTTCTTGATTGCATTATATTGAAGTGAAATTTAAGTTAAACTATTAAAAGAGTATTCCTGACTCTTCCTAACATTATTTAATAATTGGTAGATAAATATTTCTTATGTTATAAATTTTAATTTTAGTTTTGTTCTATATCATTTACTGTGGGACATAAACTATGATTCAGTGTTTGTTAAATTGTATCACATGTAGTATCTCAAATATAGTATCAGATTATAGATGTCCTAAATTACCTGGCCCAACACTGTGATTCCAGGAAGATGCACACTTAAGTCATTATAGACAAAAGCTGTTATATTTCTAAAACATTATTTAGAGGAGGAAAAGCATTTTAAGAATTAACCTTTAAATCAAAAAGTCTTTGATATCAGGTCAGCTTAATTTTTCATTCCCTAAAAAAAAAAATTGGAAAAATCAGTATGGTCCACTTAAACCCTTTCTTTTTAGCCTAAATCATTAACTTCATTTGTACTTTTTATAATCAAGTTACATTAAGCTCAGAAGAAGTCAATATGATTGATAATATATATTTAATAGTATTTGTGCTTCTTTCTATGTTATTTTTAAACCCAGTGTAATTTTGCCTTTTTTAAGGATAATTCATTGAAAAATTCTGTGTATCTCTCTGCCTACAAAATGTTTTAAAATAGTCAACTTTTTACCTTCTATAGTTGTTTTTAGTTTGTCCCTGAGAACATGATACAGTTAGAAGAAGCTCCATGGGAGAGTATGGATCCTTATATTGCATTGGTATTTTCTTTTGTTGAATAGTACAGGAAATAGTACAGGAAAGTGATCCATAGAGAATTAGAATATTTCATAAATGTATCCATTTAACTTAACTGCAAGGAATTGTTTCTCCTCAATAAATTCCTTTCGAATTCTGTTCTTGAGATATGAGCAGCCCCACATTATATTAATTTATCTACATGTTTGTGATCATGATTTTATTCTTATCCAAATCATTAAGCAGTAAGAGAACTTTGAGAATCTACTCTATTATGAGGGAGAGTGACAATTCCATTAGATTTCATGTAGATTAAATTATCATCACCTTAGTCAAGCGGTGTATGAGATTATATGCAACTGGGAAATATCTGGGCCTTTGACCTGTCTCATTTCATACTCTTTGGTGAAATAAATTAATTTGTTTCTATTTTTATTCTGAGAAACTGGCTCAGCTACACAGTATTTCTTTGCTTTAAAAGTGTTGGGGAAGCTTTAAACTACTATTTTCCCAATTTTAAATCTCCATCCTCCTTTCTTACCTTTCTTTAATCTTCAAAGTTAGAGTCTCTCCTCTTTCATACACAGTTTCTTATATGATGACTTTTTAAAAGTTACATTCGATAGCTTTGAGTGTTTTTATAAGTCCAAGGATCTTTGAATCTATGGAATATTTGAAATCCTCTGTGGAATCTCTTTCCCCCCAAGCATACAAATTATATTTTAAACAAATATAGTAAAATAATAAGTTGATCACTGTTTTGTGAAAATTCTTTAAAGGTGTGCTTTTACTAAGGAAGGAGAAGAATGGCCTGGAATTTTGGGGGGGTTTTGATTTTGATTACATAGTACTTTTTGCATGAGATTTAGAATTTGTATGAAAAAGTAATACATGAACTTGTTTGTTAGTAGATTACTCTTATTTTTAGGCTAATCCTGGCATTGTAACTTGCCTCGAAAATCATCCTCACAAACTTGAGACAGGACAGTTCATAACATTTCGAGAAATTAATGGAATGACAGGCTTAAATGGTTCTACACAACAAATAACTGGTAAGTTCATATGTCTTATTAATTCATTTAAAGTTATTATTCTGCACATTTATAGTTCAGACACCATACTAGCGTTGAGAACACATCAACTTACACAGACTCGATCCAGTTCTTGGCGTTAAACATTCACTCTAAGTGAGGAGATGTTAACATTAAGCAGTGGTGGTATGATAGGCATTCTGGGAACTCTAAACTTAGCAAGGAAACCTACCCTTTTTGTACCATGGTAATATAGACATGGTGTCTTGATTAAAATTTGAAGGTTGCATTGGCTTAGGAAGGTGGTAAAAAGATCTTGTATGCCGAGTCAAACAGAGGCAAGACAGAATTCAAGGAACTGAAAGATAGACTGTCAGGCTGGCAGTGGGAGTTAAGAAAGCAAGAGTCCAAAGACATTTAGGAGGAAATTTTATATATCATATATCTCTTGGTAGGTGAGCCAAAATTCCAGCATGGGCAACTTATTTACTCACTGAAGAGATACAAGAAAGGGAGCAGGTTTTGGAGAAAATATAATGAGTACAGTTTATGCTCCTGGAGTGAGGTGGCAGTGAAATATTCAAGTGGACATACACATTTTTGTTCAGTTGCTTGAATAAAAGAAATGAGTAAATGTAACTGCAGGCAAGTTTATGGGTTTGCTGGCAAAAAAATAGAAGGAATCTGTTTTTTTCAGTGGACTAAGATGAGATCATTGCCCAGTGGAAAGGAAAGGTGATGAGATTTGAGGAGAATAAACATTCTTTAAAATAGTAAGATTATTAGGCATCATTTAAGGCCCATTTGAAGTTGAAGATAATGAATTTATGGCAGTGTTAGTCTACATAGTTCATGATTTTCCTGCACCCATGTATAAGAGTTAAAGACATTGCTAGATATTCTGTAATTCAAGGAAGGCAATTTTGTACCTGTTCAGCTGAGAGTGATTCAGTTTTATCTTTAGGGCAATTGAAAGTATAATTATGTGATTGCTGTATAGACTAGTAAATGGATTACTTTTGTTTTTCTTTCCATGACTATGAAATGGATCTTAAGAGAGGAAAAATCAATTCCTGTTACAAACTCTTTATAGAAAAACAACTTTGGATATACATTAAGCATCTTTGGTAACAAAACTGTTGGATTTTGTTTCCCAGTCTGCATCTAAATATATAAACTACAGGTTCCCATCATTGGTATTAAAGAATTTATATCTGTTTTTGGAAATAATGATTCAGCTAGTCATTTAGGATTATCATTTGTTATTTTGGGGTCCATGCCATGGTGGATTGTGATGATGGATCAGATTCTTGCAGATAAATATAAAAGGAGGAGCCACTGGATTTTAAGGAATGAAAATAAAACACATTTTGTTCCAAAAATTCTTAGGGCAGAGATGGAATATTTAAATAGAATTGCTGTTTATGAAACTTTTTAAATATTTATTAATTGGTACTTACTGGTCTCGGAAATTTTCTGTTATTTGAAAAACGTTTTTAAATAGCTAAAATAATATAAGCTTATTCTAGATACAGATATGTATGTGTATATGTATAAATAAAGTTTAAAATGAATACTATTTTAGGCCTTCTCCCCTCTCCAAAGATAACAGCAGCTAAGTTTGATTTTTACTCTGCTGATCTTTCTCTGTTTATATGAGGGGAGGGACCCCAAAAAAGTGAAATTTATTTATAAAAAATGTGTATTTACTTCTTCCATATTTAAATTCAGTAACCTTCAAAGTGCCCTCCATTTGATGCAATATACCTATTGAGATGTTATTCCCACTGCTCAAAACAGTTTTTGAACTCATTGATTTTGATGTCATCTTTTGTTTCTGCCATATTTTTTGTTTCAGCTCTTCCATATCAGGGGAAATGTTTCCCTTTGAGGACTTTTTTTCTTCCAGGGAAATAAAAAAGAAGTTGTGTGGGGCAAGATTGGATGAATAGGGAGGGTGAGGCATGGGGGGCAGTGGGCTGGAGGGGTCATGCCATTTTTGGTCAAAAACTGCGGAACACTCAGCACAGTGTGGACAGGTGTGCTTGTGAATTACCCATTATAAAATGGGCAAATGTGTTGAGTCTTCAAAAAAAATTCACTGAAGCCAAACACAGCCTCTCAAAACAACACCAGCTGGTGCACTGATACAGATGGGTTCCTAGAACACTCACTAAGAACGGGAAGCCTGTACTACAAGAGGCCTGCCCTCCTGAAGATAATTCTGGGTTTTTAGGGGCCCCTCTCATATAAGTTTGTGGGAAGAAAGGGCTTACTGTTTATGTCTTTAATTTTTTTTTAACAAAGAAATTGTTCAAAAACAATTGGCCAAATGTTTACAGTGAAAGCTTTCCTGCCCCTCTGTGGCTCCCACTCAGTTCTCACCATTTACTGATTCTTAGTTTACAATGTATTCTTCTAAGCCTCCCTTATACTTTTTTACATACAGTAAATCATATATACATCCACCCTTTGCCTTTTCACTAAACAATATAACTACGTGATCTTTTCACATCAATAATTGCAGAATATTCATTTTGGTTTTTTCCTTCAATTTTCTTTTATGGCAAGATAGTATTTCATGCTGTGAATGAATTATATCACAGTATAATTTTAATTTGCATTTTACATATTATTAATGAGATTAAGTATATTTTCTTAAGTTTTAGGGCTATTTGTTCTTTAATGTGAATCATCTATCCTTTGTCCTTTTTCCTGTTGAGCTATTTAACCATTCCTTGGAACTCCTAAAATCTGGGGCATATTTGCTGGGGGGCTTTATATAAATTGCAAATATTTTTTCTAGTTTGGTGTATGACTTTGTGATTGGTTTTTACTGTGTGATAATATCAAAATGAATTTTTTAATGATTTTTATTTTGAGTCATAATTAGAAAAGCCTTCCTCACTGCAGAGTTTTAAAGAAATTTTTCTCCCATGCTTCTATCTTACAATATTTTTGGCATCTTCTGTGACATTAAAAACTTGTGCCCATTTAGATTAGATATTTTCCCAGATGGCATTTTTTTCCCCCAAAATATATTGTATAATCCTACCGTTACCTTACTGATTTGAGGTGCCACCTTCAGTATTCCTTGTAAGTCTATATCTGAATTCTCTAACTTATTCTGTTTGCCTGTCTATTCATAAGCTAGTACCACGGTACATTAATTATTATTATGTGTAACTAGTACCAATATATTAATTACTGAGGTTTTATACAAGATTAAAATGTCATCTAGCCCTTGCTGGTATGGCTCAGTTGGTTGGAGTGTTGTGCCGTAAACTGGAAGGTCACGAGTTTGGAAGCTGATCAGGGCACATGCCTGGATTAGAGGTTCAGTCCATCCTCAGGGAAGGCATGAGAAACACTGATCAATGTTTCTTTCCCCCCCCTTTCACTCTCCCTTCCCTTGTCTCTGAAATCAGCAAGCATGTACTTGGGTAAGAATCGATTGGATTATTTATTTATTTATATATTATCTATTTGAATATCTAAGAAGCAACTCTCACTACTTCTTTTCCCTTTGAGTTTTCTTGGCTATTTTTAAGTCCTTAAATTCACATTGGAAAATAATTTGTCTAGCTCTTCACATTTCTGCCCACCCTTATTACTTCCTCCTCACACCCGAAAAAAAGACTTATAAATGTGACCTTCTTAATTTTATATTTTTGGGGAAATTAACGTCTTGATGATATATCATCAAATTTAAATACCTATATCAGTAAATAATGGCTTTCTTTTTTTTTCTTTTAGTGGTATCACCATTTTCTTTTAGCATTGGTGATACTACAGAACTGGAACCTTATTTACATGGAGGCATAGCTGTCCAAGTGAAGACTCCTAAAACATTTTACTTTGTAAGTATTTTTTTCTGCTTAAAAAAAAATTTTCTCTACAGAAGAATGGCAGTAAAGAAAAAAAAATAAATAGTTAACCAGACAGTTAATTTAAAGCCTAAACAGATTTTACTTTTTTAGTTTCTACCTACTTTGAGAAAAATGATATCAAGCTAAGAAAATAGACTGATACCAACCAAAAATTTACAGCCAGAATACCATATGCATATAATTGAGGTATATAAAATACCTCAAGAAAAACTACACCTTTGCATCTTCAGACACATTCATATTTCTTACAATTACTTTCTAAGACAAAAGGTGAAATGTATACTTTTGAAAGACTTAGTAAGAATTGAAACTGTATATTTTATTATTCACTTACATTTTTAAAGTAAAAGGAATATTTCTTTTAATTTTAGCATTTGTAAATTTTAAGAAACAGTGTATATGATAGAAAAATAATTTCTGTCAGCTAGCACTGAAAGGAGTGTATGTAAATATCTCAATAGAGAAAATGTAGAAGCTACTTATATCAAGGAATGCAGGAGTCTCTACTTAAATCTTTGGCCTATTTCTCAGTATAATCTAGTATATCTCTTCTTTTCTTTCAAGTTCTCAAGGTTTTAACTTGATTGCCTTTTCTTTTCCAGAATGATTATTAACTATAGTCCTCTACAAGGCTTTGTTCAAGCCAAATTTAGCACAGAACAACAGATTAAAATAACTAGTCACTAGTCAAATCTGTCTCTCCCTTACTTCCTCTTGCCCCATCCCCAGTTTTTAATTAGACAGTTAATGCTCTTAATAAATTTCAAATTGTGTGGGTGTTTGGGGTTTTTGTTTCTTGGAAATTTGTTTATTTGATTGGTTGATTGGTTCTGTGGGGTTTTTTTTTTGTTTTTGGAGGAGGGGGAGGGTTGTTGGTTTTTGTGGGAGGTTTTTTTTTTGGTCTTTACATGTTCTTAGCTCTACACAGAAAATTTCACTTTGAGTATTCTAGTCTGGTCAGGTATAACAAGTCTTAATAATGTGATACCAGAAAAACAAAGCTTTCCAATTAAAACAGTAGATTTTTTTCAAGTATACAGATATTCTCACCATTTCTCCCCACATTTATTATGTGAATCAGGTCATCTAATTGAATTTAACATTTTTAAAAAATAAAGTGTGGTAGTAAGACAAGGGGTATCAGGAAGAATGGTAGCTATTTTATATTTAAGTGAAACCTTAGTAGCCCAGGCTGCCAGTCAAGATGGTGGCGTGTCAACATTCCAGTGGAAAGTAGATTTTTATTTAGTAACAAACCATTCTGAATCCTATCTCATTGATTTGCACCTAGTATTTCAGTGTTGCTTCAATGGATTAGTAAATAAGTTGTTCTTAATACTACTTGTAAAAGAAAAGAAAGAAAACTTAGTAGCACAACCTTACCTATTTCATACCTTTTGGAAAGATCCATTGCTTTTAGTGCTCGGTATATTTTGTCAAGTACTCACTCACTTGCAGTAGAGTAATTGTTTTGTTTTGTTTCTATTAGGAATCATTGGAGAAGCAGATAAAACATCCAAAGTGCCTCATTGCGGATTTTGGCAAACCTGAGGTAAACACTTAGGAGGTTTTAAGAGAGGCGGCAGAGTGGGGGATTGAGATTGGTAAGAGAGATTATAAAGTTAAAATGGAGTAACCATGTATATACCTTTCAGTAAGTTTTTCTTGATAAAGGGTTATATTCACATATATAAAGTTGACTCCCAAGGATTAAAAACAAATTTATATCATGGAAAATATTAGAATAATAGGATAAAGTTTGCTAATGATGCTAGTTTTGATAGTTAAAAGACAATTTCAGTAATTTATGCAAAGGTGATATTATTAAAAAGATCTTCTGAACCACGGAGAGTTTCATATAATAAATCTTCCCAAAAACATTTGAAATATTTATTCTATTTTTATAAATCACTGGATATAATTTTGTAGCAATGAATGTATTTGTGATAAAGAGTAGTTATATTTATAGTTCCCAAATTCGTAAATGTTGATAAGGAAAATAGAAGTGATCTTGCACAAATGTTTTATAGTCGTTATTCAGTTGTTATTACTCTTAAGTTTCATATAGATATCGTTGTTATTACTCTTAAGTTTCATATAGATAACCTAGTAAAAACTGGTCATGCTACCTGGGATAGATAGACCTGTGGCTTCAATGTTGTTTTATTGCCTTGAAATCAAGTCATTTAACTTCTCTTAAGGTTCAGCTTCCTCTTATGTTAAAGATAGTAGTAGTATTAAGCTAATTTATTTATTATAACAATTAAATAATGCTTAAAGCATTGGCACAGTGCCTGGCACATACTACGTTGACCAGTTTTTAATGTTCTAAATAGGCACCTTTACAGATTCACACAGCTATGCTTGCTTTGGACCAGTTTCAGGAGAACTACAGTCGCAAGCCAAATATTAGGTAATGTTCTTTGTTTGAAATAACTTTTTTTACTATGAAAACAGTATTTCAGAAATTATAGATTAAAAAATTTTTAAAGTAACTATGCCTCTTAATAATTGTAATGCCAGTGGCATTAGTAAAACACTTATTATGATCTCTTGGTCTTGTTTCCAGTGGAAGTAGAGTGATGAATTTATAAAATTGAAATTATATTAAATAAGAATTTGCCCATTTTGAAGTCTTCAAAAGCTATAACTTTTTAAATAAAAAAAATCAGAGAATAATTGAATTATGAATCCACTATGTAATTTTTTTACCTTCCAGCCTATTAAGTCAGAAGTAGTATTGCAAAGGGTTTTAGCCTTACATATTTAAAAGTGAATCTTATTTATATACTTCCTTAGGTGAGCATGATTTTGAATTGATATTTATATAAGCCAGTATTCAAGTCATCAAACACTTTGTGCTCCTACCTCTTGGCAAAATTCTACATTTTTTTTACATATTTCTTAAATTTTAGATTTGAATATGACCTATTATTTATAGTAATTGAGAAAATTGAATTTGGAGTGCTTTATTTTGAATCTTAGGTGCCAAAAAGATTCAGAAGAGCTGTTGAAACTAGCAACATCTATAAGTGAAACCTTGGAAGAGAAGGTAACTAATCAAAGTTATGGCTAATCAAAAAATGTGTAACATAAATATTCTATATATTAATTTTTTATTCTTCAGATCACAGCTTTGCTACTTAACAAACTTTATTTTCAACTTTCATTTGAGCAGATACAAACATAACAGTGTTTGTGCAATTATTTGAAAATTGTGATGTTCTTATTTTATAAAAATGAAGTTACTTGACTTTGTTCTGTTTTAAATTATAAATGTATAAAATACTGTTGAACTGTCTAAGAGGGTTGTATGAACATTAGATAAATTTACTTTTATAAAGTACTTAGCACAGTATGTAGCAAATAGTAATAGAATTTGCCACTGATGCCATGTTTTTAGTGTTAGTATTATCTCTTCTGATTTACTTGGTTCGTTAACCCACTAAAACTCACTATATAAAGTCATCAGCTTTCCTACAAATTGCCTATTTTGTAAATTATATATATTCATATCTCTTAATGGCATTTTGCATGTCATGCCTGGGCATATAACCTAGAAAATAGTTTTTTCTTGTTACAGTGACAGTGCCTACTAGCCAACCTTCATTTGAGCAGATACAAACATAACAGTGTTTGTGCAATTATTTGAAAATTGTGTTGTTCTTATTTTATAAAAATGAAGCAGAAACAGAGGTTTTAACATTAGTTATAAGAATAATATATTTTTGTAATTAAAATGAAGAAAATAATAAGTGTACCGAAAACAGTAAATCTCTAGTCATAAGTAAAAGACCTCTTATTGCATTTTTAGTGGTTAAGAAAATGTATGAAAGGTCAAGAACTGTATGATTTCATTCATATGTGGGATATAAAGCAAAAAGCAACAAATGAGCAAACATAAAACAAACACAAAAACAGACTCCTAGATAGAGACAACAGAATGGTGGTTACCAGAGTGGAAAGGTGTGGGGGGAGAACGAAATGGATAAAGGGAGTCAAATACAAGGCGACAGAGGGAAGGAGACCAGACTTCGGGTAGGGAGCACACAAATGAGTATACAGATAACCATATCATAAAGTTGTGCATCTGAGGTTTATGTAATGTTGTTAACCAATGTTACCTCAATACATTTAATTTAGAAATATTATAAAAATAGCCAAAAACTATAAAGTTAAAAAAGTATGAAAGCTAGAAATAGACCGTTGAAATCTGTAATTAAAAGGAAGGGTGTGATTGAGAATTTATCAGATTTATTGAAATAAAACTTAAAGTAAATTTCACCTTTTTAGGTGTACAGTTAGTTATATAAGATTCTGTATATAATAAATACATCTGTACAGAGTGAATTCAAAGTGTCCAGTCATGCACCTTCCACCACTATTAAGACAAAACATTTCCATAACGCCAATTGTTCCCTTAATGCCTCTTTAAATAATCCTTTCCTCCCCCAACTAAAACATACCAACCACTATAGGTTGCCTTTTCCAAAATGTCATATAAATGTATGCCTTTTGAGCCTGACTTTTATTAAATATAATGAATTAGAATTTTATCTGCACTGTCACGTGTTTATTTCACTTTATTGCTGAGTAGTAGTCCATTGTATAGATGTACTGCAGTTTGTCTCTGCACCAGCTGGTAGACCATTGGGTTGTTTCCATTTTTGGCAGTTACGAATAAAGCTGCTACAAACATGTAAATACAGATTTCGGTGGGGACATATGTTTTTATTTCTCTTGAGTGAATACCTAATGATGTATTAGAGTTGTATGATAGATACATGATTTAATTTCCAAAACTGCCAAATTGTTTTGTGGAGTAACCGTATCATTTTTGCATTTCCACCAGAAATGTATGAGTTTGAGTTTCTCTACATTCTCACCATAACTTTGCATTATCTGTTTGATTTTAGCCATTTTAAATTGTGTGCACTGACATCTCATTGTCATTTTAATTTGCATTTTATTAATGGCTGTGAACTTGAGTATCTTTTCATGTGTTTATTTGTCATTCATATCTCTTTGATTAACTGTCTTCAAATCTCTGCCTGTTTGTAATTAGGTAGGTTTTTTTTCTTAATTGAGACATTTATATATTCTAGATATCAGTCCTTTTACAAATATTCTTTTTCAGTTTGTGCATTGTGTTGTCATTTTATTATATCCTTTTGAAAAGCAGAAGTTTTGAATTTTAAGTTCAATTTTTTTGTGATTTGTGAATTTTAAACATCCAGGGTCACAACGCTTTTTCTCCTATGTTTTCTTCTAGAAGTTTTATAGTTTTGTGAATTCATTTTTTTATACCATGCAAAATGTATAGTTCAGGTATACATGACTATATTTTGAATTCATTATGTACACTTTTGTACTTTGTAAGTTCATTTTGTTTTATATCTTGCCAGGTATACATCAAGATAATTTTGTTGTATGTGAATATCCAGCAATTATAGCCCATTGGTTGAAAAGACAGTTCTTTCCCTATTCATTTTTAATAGCATCAATAATTTATTGACCATCCTATATGCATGGCTATATATGAACTCACTATTATCTTTCATTGGTTGTTTCTGTTCTTTTGCTAGTACCATCCTATTTTGATTACTCTTGTTTTATATTAAATCTTAAAATCAGTTTTTGTCTGTAGCATATTTCTCAGAGCTCAGAATTACAATATTCTCTACATTCTTACATGTTTTACATTTTTCTGTAGCTTTCATACTTGAAAGACAGCTGGGATGGATATAACATTCTAGGCTCTTTCTTCAGTGATACCTTTCTTTGTATCTTATTCTTGAGAAATACGATGCCAGCTTAATTTTCTTACTCTTATAAGCAATGTGGTCTTTATGCGTTTAGACTCTGTATATTTTTTCTATATATGAATTAGGGTTGATTGTTCAGTCAGTTTTTCCAGGGATACAATAAGCCCATTTTGATACAAAGTTGCAGAATTTAAAAATTTATTGATATCTTTCCTCCTTTTGAGAATAGAATTGGTTATTTTGGTTCCTATTTAATTTCTGATTCAAGGTGAAGTATTTTGTGTTTGTTATCCCACATCTCCAAGTGTTGTTAAGGGTGTATAATCACCAAATAAAGTTTTCTTCACCTTGTAAGTGGTTTGGAAGAGAAACTTTCAGTAGCTGAAATGTTTTGATTCCAACTTCGTATCCTTCTTACATTACCTTGTTATAGTGAACTGGTTTTTCTGCTTATTTTTGGACAGGGTAAGGATTTCTATTTCTAGAACCCCTCTTCTCTCAAGATGAAAAAAGGAGTTTCTTTAGCGGGTGGTTTTTCCTAGGAAGAGGGGTATATGAGTTAGTGTGTCTGTGGATCTCTTTGATTTCTGTCAAATTCTTAACTTTTTCTCTTCATTCTTTAGCCTTCTCTGTCAAAAGATGTCTCCCTCTTTCTATTTATATCACCTTCTCCTAGAGACATTCTTTTACCATAGCCATTGCTGAGATCTGCCAGATTTCATACATGTTCAGTTTTGTTTTTTTGTTTTTTGTTTTTTTTGCATTTAGTGTGAGAACATATGTTTTCTCAGGATGATTTTGACTGCTTTGTCACTGTTAAGCCTTTCTATTCTGTAGTTACATGCTTGCTGCTCTGTGCAGGCAGGTATGCAGCAATATGAAGTCCAGAAATAGTTCTCTTGGAGTTTGTTTTAGTTTTGTTTTTTTTCCTGTTTACAGGTGACTTGAAGGTCATAATGTTCTCGTTTCCTAGAAATGCTGAAGCTCTTGTGGATATATATATATATCTCCTTCTGGAGATTCTGTGGGGAAATTCAGATTTAAACCATTGTCATCCTTAGCCTTCTGTTAACATGCTCATTCTTGTTTTTAATATTATCACTATCACCAACATCTGTGCTCAAATGGTACAACTTAAATTATAATCTGATTTGAGTTTAGTGCTAAATAGTTGAAAAGTAATGATATACAGAAAATTGAAATGGTGTGGGTGGAATAGTGAGTAGATATTAACCTCTTTTGTATTACAGATATCTCTGCAAATGTAGTAAAAGCCTTTCTTCTTCCCCCTGAATGCACAAGCAGTATTATTTTGCATAGGATTTCAGAAGATTAATTGAGCCAAACTTGAATCTTAAGGTTAAGATTGAAGTTACTAATGTTGAAAGAATAAAGAGAAAAAGAAGGCAGAACTCATGAAGAGATCTTTGGCGCAAATAAAAAGTTGTGTTAAAACAGCTATGGCTGGTGTGGCTCAGTGGATTTAGAGCCAGCCTGAGAACTAAAAGGTCACCAGTTCAATTCCTAGACAGACCACAAGCCTGGGTTGCAGGCTAGGTCCCCAATGTGGGGCGTGCAAGGGGCAGCCATACATTGATGTTTCTCTCCCTCTCTTTCTCCCTCCCTTCCCCTCTCTATAAAAATAAATAAATAAATATTTTTTTAAAAAGAATCGCAGGTACTGATAAAGAGAAATACTACTTAGGGTAACTAGCATGCAACTGGGTCTTCTATTATGAAATTAGAACTCCTTTAGGACTTAAAAACTAGTAGAGAAGTTGAGTGGGGTTTTTTTTGAAATTAAGGTATAATAATTTTAACATTAAGTCATTGAAATTTTGAGTCTTCTTTGTGAATACTCTTAATATTAATGTCTTTCATGGTCTGTGTTTCAGCTGGAAGTAGATGCTGACATTGTACATTGGCTTTCCTGGACTGCTCGAGGATTCTTAGCCCCACTTGCTGCAGCAGTAGGAGGTGTTGCCAGCCAGGAAGTATTGAAAGCTGTGACAGGAAAGTTTTCTCCTATGTGCCAGTGGGTTAGTTCTGTATTTTAATTTTTTTTTTTGTATTTAAGGTTGAGCTATCTATCTATATAATGACTGTCTTACAAATTTTAGTGTTAATGTAAAAACTACCTTAAAATATTTTTTTGATGCATGCAAGAGATGTTATATGCCACCAAAACTTAATTCTGGCTGTGGGACTATAACCCAGAGTTGCATTCTAAGATGTATTTCCCTCATTTGTTGAGAGTGGGGGAATGAGTTTTCTATCCTTATACTTAGTTAATCTCTTATATTATTAGCTTCGTATTCATGGACTCTCAGGACTCCTGTTTGAATCTTTGACATCATCCATGTTTAGGTTGCTTTTCTAGGTATAAATACTGAAGATTGAAAGCAAGGGAATGGTAGATTTGAGAACTAGATAAGGTAAAAACATAATTTGATATAATAAAAACACTCATTTCTGTTACCAGAATAATTGGCAGATCATATCAGAGGACACTCTTCAGGCCCTTACTTTTTTGAAACACTTTGAACATTGTGACTATAAAATTTATCATTTTTTTATGTTTCAAGAAGTGCCCACATAATGCTGTTTTGATGCTGATTTGGTTTATTTTAACATAGTACAAGTTCATTTGTAAAACTGTGGATTCGATACAGCTGTTAACTGCATGGGAAATTATATAAATTATGTCAATAATCTAGATTCTGTGTTATAAATAAATAATAACCATTTTGTCATGTTCAGATTTAGCCACAGAAGTAACATCAATGAAAATGGAAGTGAGACTTAGTTCTTTTTTAATTAACTTGAATAAATCCTGCTTGGTATTTTTAAAATGCTGAAATTGTAGCTTTCTAAATCATTTTCTCTATAGTGTATATAATTATATGTGACATATAATATACCCAAGCTGGAAAATAAATATAGAGTAATCAAATTACTGTGGGTATTTAAAAAAAAACGTTTCCTCTCACCTTCTGAGTTCTTTTAGCTAAGCTAATAAACAAATTAACATGAGACATTAACAGGAGAATATGTCCTAAGTTTATTAAATATGTACATGTAGGGGTACCATAAGAATATAAAACCCCAAAGAGGCATTGGGTAGTTGAGGTTCATATGCCATCTGGACAAAGAGAGGGAGGTGGAGGTCTACAATTTCATAGGGAAAGCAGGCAGTTTATAGATGAGAAAGAGCAAACGTGTTGGCAAACATTCTTGCTTGGCCACCCAAAAACAGGAGACGGGGAAGTTCAGCAAGCAGGCTTTGTGAGATCTCTACCTGCCTGCCGCATTTGGTTTATGTTGCTAAGGTGATGCTCCCTTCCTTTCAGCAGGTTTTTCTATCTGAATTTTTTTAGTTAGGTCAAGGGAAAGGGTCAGAGTTTCCTTCACAGCATTTCTTGTCTTAACCAGTTTAAAATCAATTTCCCAAAAGGCATATTTGGTGGTGGCAAAACTTTAGTCCCCTTCATTACTTATTCAAATATGGCTATAATTGAATGGGGCTTCAAGAGATGTTATGTAGTTATACAAATAGATCCAAAGGTGAAGTTTCCTTTTGTTTGTTAAAGCAAACATCTTTAAGATGACTAAATGACATGAATCAAATTATACCTTTTAATAAATCCTTCAGGTTCAAAGCCAAAGTGGAGAAGGATTGAGGATGGGAGGTGAGGGTGGTTGGAACAGGGGAAAGTGGTGGCAGGAAAATGGAGACAAATGTATTTGAACAATTAAAAAAAATCCATCAGGTTTAATTATTGTTTTAATAAAAGAATACATATACATATTGTATACCAAACCATTATATTTTTAATCTATTCTAAATTGGTGTTTTTAAATTTTTTCATTAATTATTAAATAATTATAGTAGAGAACTATTTTTTCTAGTTTAAATTTTATAAATAATAAGTTATATTTTTTATCTTAAAGTTATACATTGAAGCAGCAGATATTGTTGAATCTCTAAACAAACCTGAACGTGAAGAGTTTCTTCCACGGTAATATTGGAATTTCTGTTGCTTTTTTCTTATTTGTATATTTGTAAGAGGCAACTGGATTAAAAGAGTTTTTGTTTAAACATGTAGTTGTTTTAAATGTCTTTTCTGAAACCTACCTCATTTACTTCTTCAGTTTCTTCTTTCCTATTCAAAGGTGACATGTCATGATAATGCTATATGTTTTCATGACTTTATAAACAATGAGTATAAAAATTATGTATTTTTATGAGAATGGTGAGCATTCAAATATTCTGATGAACAGTTGCTACCTGCAACTTTTACTTATATCAGTGATTCACCTTTTTGAATCACAAATCTAAGCAGCTGATAAAAGCTATGTTCATTTTCCCCAAAATACACATACCCCAAAATTTTTATGTTCAGTGTAAAGTACAACATTAAATTTGTATTAACAATGAAACTAATCTTAATGATGTTTTAAATGCATTTCTGGTTTTTTTTTGATGTGTTATTTTCTTCAGAGGAGATAGATATGATGCCTTACGAGCTTGCATTGGAGACAGTCTGTGTCAGAAGTTACAAAATTTGAATATCTTCTTGGTAAGTATGAATAATGATGAAAATGAATAGTATATTCATACTGCTATTGTGTGTCATCAAGTTAATTTATTAGAGCAAATTTGAATCTAAATGAGTACATGTTCTAACATGGTAGACATTCAGTAAATGTATGGAACCGGGGTTGCAAACTATGGCTGGCAGACCAAAATCCATCTTGCTGTTTGTTGATGATGTTTCATTGGAACACAGCCACGCCCATTCATTTATATATTGTCTAGGACTTCTTTTATGCTATAACAGTGGTTTGAGTGGTTTTGACAGGGACCATAATGGCCTGCAAAGCTGAAAATATTTACTGTCTGGCCCTTTACAAAAGTTTGCGAACCCCTGATCTAAAGATTTAATACATTTAAAATGAGCCCTGACTTTTGTGGCATAGTCCTGTGAGGTGAAGGGTCACTGGCTTCATTCCCTGTCAGGGCACATGCCTAGGTTGCAGCTTCATCCCCAGTCAGAACGTGTACAAGAGGCAGCCATTTGATCAAAGTTGTTCTCTAACTTTTATGTTTCTCTCCCTCTTTTATTCTCTCTCTTCCCCTCTCTCTAAAAAATAAATAAAATGAAAATGTGAATATGATAGTTTTGAACATTAAATAATTTTCTAGAAATACATTAAAATTGGTTGGGGGTTTTTTTCCCATTTTTTTTTCCCTCACCAAGTGAAGGAATATGTAGGGATTCTGTCTTTCTTAAATATCCAAGGAATTTTTTTTTATTAATTTATTGCACTGTTTTGTGCTGTTTGTTTCTAGCTTATATAAAACAAAAGTGAGCTGATTGGCTTTTGTTTGGAATTTTAAAGTATCTTCTGTTTAAAGGAAATGTAAATACTGTGCTTCTTTTTCTATTTGGTTTATACTTTTTCTGTAACTGAGACACTTAATAATGGCATTATAAACCAGTTAAGTACTTTAAACTAAAATGAATCAAAGATGTTCAAACTATTTTTAAAAGTATATATTTATTGTAAGGTAGCATTTCATGAAAATTATGAAATTGCTCTTTAGTAAGTAGAAGCTCTGATTTTATTTAATTTGATACATTTTTCTCCTCCATAGGTAGGATGTGGAGCCATAGGCTGTGAAATGTTAAAAAATTTTGCTTTACTTGGTGTTGGCACTGGCAAAGAGAAGGGAATGGTAAGATATAAATTCTTAAAAGTTAAAAGTGTATACATATTTCTCTTGCTGTCCATTTTTTAACTGTATTTGACTACATCGACCTGAAGTACTAATTTTTGAGGAGAGATCATTAAGTTAGAAATAGGAAAATTCTAATTGTACTCTGACCACTGTTTTCAAGTTAAGTGAATCTGTCTCTACCACCTACTTCATAATGTTATTGTTAAAAATCAAATGCATAAGGGCTTTGCAAACTATAAAACACATTAACATTGTTTTTATTTTATTATATACTACTTGATAATTATTAAATAAATCTTTGAGATGGGAGAGGCTAATATTAGAAACTTGAAGGCTACTCAGATATAATTTCAATTGGTGATTATCAAAAGAAGAGGGAATAATGTAAACTTGTATATACAGTTTAAATTTTTAAGACTATAATTGGGGAGCCATGTCATGTATTTAATTAAAAATATATTTTACTTTAAGATGTAAACCAACTTCCCAGAGTAGTGATTTCATATATTTGTCATGGTGACTCACAATAAGTAATTTTATAGTTAATTAAACTTGGCTTATAATTTCACTCAAAGAGAGTGTTACTATCACAGTTATGGGCAGACGTTCTACATTTATATTGTTTCTGCTCAGTAATTGTGTTCCACAAACTGCTGTTAGTTCTGGCAGTTTTAAAAAGGTGTTTTTCAAGAAAAAAAAATCCTTGATTGTATGAGTTTGGGAATTGCCCAAATACATTTTAATTTCTTGGGATTCATAGCGTATATTAGCCTGTAAAGATCAGGAACAGTTACAGTAAACCTACTGACTTTCAGGTAACAAAACAAGGTAAGTATATTGAGACAGATTTTTATTCTATTGCAAACACATAGACTTGCTGTGTAATTTATTTTTTAAGTGTTTGCACACGTAGCCAAACTAACTGGAAAAAAGGAAAGAGAAATCCCTAGGTTCTAGGGACCAAAAGAGGAATTAATTCCTGAGCTAAAAGCTTTGGCGACTCACAAGCATTTCTGTCTAGAATAGTTGTCCAAAATATTAAATGGAAAGAGAAGTCAATCATGAGAAATGAAAACTCAGAGCATGCACTAAACTGGTACCTGGAGTCCAAAATTATACAGAAATTTCAAGCAAAGAAATGAATATAGCAAATATAATACCATTGATACCTTCTGAGCTCTGACTAAAACAAATGCAAAACTACATGATGGTGATACTTACACCTCCAGAGCATGTAGGACTATGCAGAAAAATCAACATCCATTCAAGACAACAATGAAAGTGATCCACTAGGAAAAAAGGTACCACCTGGAAAAAGAATCAATCATTCAAGGAAAATGGAAGAATTAGCTTTCTTCAAGAACTATTGGTATTAGAAGTGCTACAGGTAATAGAACCAACTGTAACATAAAGTTAGAAATGGCCAAAGGTATTAAAAGAAAAAAAAACATAGGGAAAAGGCACTAAAATTTTTACCAAAAAAACTTCTTTTTAGTGAGTGAGCTTAAAATTCAAATATAGCTGAAGATAGAATTTATGAATAGAAGACAAATATAAGTTCCCAGAATGTCATGCAGGAAGATATATTTTTAATGGAAGAGGATGACTTTGCGTAGTCTATCCTAAGTGTAGAATTTCCAGAGAGAATAAAGATAATGGCGAAGAAGCAATTTCCAAGGATCATGACAAAAATTTGACTTTGGTGGTGAGCAAACAATGTAGTATGCAGATGATGTATTATTAGTTGTACACCTGAAACCTGTATGGTTTTATTAACTAATGTCACTCCCAATAAATTCAATTTTTAAAAAAGTAAACATAAAGTAATTTTTTAAAAAAGAGAGATGGACAACAACAACACCCCTAGCCAAAAGGGGCTAGTGTGTTCAGACTGAATGGTAAACCAATCCCAAGGAAGATAAAGGCAAAGATAAAAAGAGGGATTCCTAACAGACTTTGCAACAACAAGAAATCCACACCTAAAGATAGGGAAGCAGATCTTCATAGTGCAAGGGCAAATTACTGTCATCCCAGGTTTCTGTACCTAGCTAATCTTCAAGACAAGTAGACAACTGACAAATAAAAATGATAAAAGATTATCATTTATTGGTTCTCACGGAAAACGTTATTAAATAATGTGAACAGTACATGAAGCAAGGGTAAGTAGAGGTGTTTGTCAACATTCTTAGATTGATTTTTAAACTTTTAATAAAAATATTGTTTGATTTGGAAGTGGGATGGTTAAAAATAAGTAAAATGTTTATTGATAACATGGGAAGGAGAAGAGAGACTTTCACTGTACTTTAATTGTTTAGGAGCAAGATATTTTAATTAATTTTAGCTCTTTTTTTTTCCTTTTTTGATTCTTCCTTGTTTTTTCTAATTTTTTTTTATTGTATTTAAAAATTTTTTTTTTTTGTTCAAGTACAATTGTCTTCATTTTCCTGCCACCACTTTCCCCTCCCTTCCCCTAAATCCTTCCCCACTCTGGCTTTGTCCGTGGGTCCTTTATACATATTCTTTGACTTGACCCTTCCCCTTCTTTCCCTGTTACCTCTCTCTTTCCTCCCCTCTGGTTACTGTTGGTTTGTTTTTTCTTTCAATATAGCTGGTTATATTTTTCTTGCTTGTTTGTTTTGTTGATTATGTTCCAATTCTAGGTGAGCTCATATGGTATTTCCTTTCACCCACTGGCTTATTTCGCTTAGCATAAGGCTCTCCAGTTCCATCCATGCGTTGCGAAGGGCAGTAGCTCTTTCTTTCTACTGTGTAGTATTCTATTGTGTAAAGGTACCATAGTTTTTTGATCCATTCATGCACTGATGGACACTAGGGTTGCTTCCAATACTTGGCTATTGTAAATTGTGCTGCTGTGAACATTGGGTTGCATCAGTTCTTTTGAATGGCATTTTGGGATTCTTAGGGTATAATTCCAGCAGTGGAATCACTGGGTCAAAAGACAGTTCCATTTTTAGCTTTCTGAGGAAATCCCAAACTGTTTTCCACAGTGGCTGCACCAGTCTGCATTCCCACCAACAGTGGACTAGGGTTCCCTTTTCTCCACAACCTCGCCAGCACTTGTTGTTTGTTGATTTGTTTATGATGGCCATTCTGACCTTTGTGAAGTGGTATCTCATTATGATTTTAATTTGCATTTCACTGATGATTAGTGACATTGAGCATTTGCAGTTTTTAAAAAAGTGTTTATTTTCAGGTTATAAAAATGAAAATTTGGAATATAACCACATAAAAATGGATGTTTGTTTTGTTTGATGTTTCTTTGCTAAACATTAATTGTAATTAAGTATAGGTATAAAAAGAATAGTAATGGTAATCATTTTGCTATATTTGTATTCATATAACTTTTACCAGCCAAAATAATTTAGAATAACTTGTGGGAATTGTTTTAGTCATCCTGAGAAAAGCAAAATAGATGGGAACTTATATATTTTTGCCATTTTCTTGTCTCGATATTAGGTTACAGTTACAGATCCTGACTTGATAGAAAAATCCAACTTGAACAGGCAGTTCTTATTTCGTCCTCATCACATACAGGTGTGTTGCTCCCTGTTTCAAATTTAAAGCATCTATTGTGTTATACAAAACAGAAGGGTTTCTTTTTAATATATAGAAATTGGTGCTTGACAAGCCTAATATATTCTTTATTCAGTCTCTCAAATTATCAAATACTGGGAATGATGATAGGGAAAATATATTAATTTTTAATATAAAAATTGGTTTTGCCTTGATTTTGGATATTCAAAGATGAATTGTGAATACTGCGGGCAGTATTTTTTTTTTCATTTTGTAATCACCAAAGTATTTGTACATATTTAATTTTAAAAACTGAGGGTATATATAGAAACAGGTTCTCTAATTTGAAGTGTTAAAGTTCAAAGTGAAGTGTTAAAGTGAAGCACTTAAAATTTTGTAATTTTGTGATCATATTTGACCATTAACATACATTTGTAAAATAATGCTTGTTTTCAGTCTGTTTTATAGAGATTAAAATATTAAGTCAGGAAAAGAAGTAGTTTGGTCAGTCAAGCAAAATTGCTTTTACTTTAGAAATTTTTTTCCACTTTATTTTTCAACAACTCATATTAATTATAGCTCAGTAAGCTTAAGAATGTCATTGTAAACAGAGAAGTAACTAAAGCAGGTGGCATAGTTAACCTAATAGCCTCATTTATCCAAATATAAAGAACTAAGTAACAGGGTCTCCTAAACTCAAATGTATGTCACAAAATTTATATACTTAACAGCTTTTAAGTTATATAAGAACTATAAAGGCCTATTTATTCTTATTTTACTGAGTTCTAACACAGTTCATGCTTTGTATATATACTAACAGCACTGAGCAGTAAAAACATGTCAGCTTAGCAATGTGAGAAGAGACAGAAATATCATTAAAGCTAGATGCATGTATTCAAACAAAATGGTCTATAGATACTCAGTGTCAGGGCCAGTACTTCCAAATGAACTTTGTTGGCACCTGAAATGACACTAATGATTTTTAAGAAAAGAATGAATTAATTTAAGGTGTTCTTTTTTATAAAACTGAAAAAATATTTTTTTAAGTATTTGGATCCAGAAATAATATTTTTTAAAGATTTTATTCCCTAAGTGTTAGATTCTCAAACGTGTGAGAGTTCATTTTCTGCGGTTTGGATTCCTAATATTTTACTTAATGTACATTTTTTTCACCTTTTTCTAGGCACTTAGCTGATTCAGACTTCATAACTATAATGGAAAGAACAATGTACTTTTAGTTAGACTTTTAACTGATATGTTAGGAACTCTGAAGCACTTACCTATGAAAAGAGAGGTTTAGAGTTCTATTAATAATATATAAGTTATTTAGACTGATATGTACTATTAGATCTGGTATGGATACAGTGAATGTAATTTCCACAGATTAAAAAATGAAATTGATCTTATACTCTCACCTCATACATATTTTCCAGAGTAATAAGAATGTGTAAGGTCAATCATAGCCTGTCTTTTCTGTTTAACATTTATTTCTTTCATTTTTGTTATTTGTTTAGAAACCTAAAAGCTATACTGCTGCTGATGCAACCCTGAAGATAAATTCTCAAATAAAGATAGATGCACACTTGAACAAAGTATGTCCAGCCACTGAGGCTATTTACAGTGATGAGTTCTACACTAAACAAGATATAATTATTACTGCACTAGATAATGTGGAAGCCAGGAGATATGTAGACAGGTATGTAATTCAAATTCAGGTTTATAAAGAATTGTTTTTATTTTCACTTCGGTTTTCCAGACTGACTTGTTGAAAAGCTACAGGATTTTTTTATTAATGTTCCTGTGTACCTCTCAAACCCTATGATGATTCCCCATTATATGTAGGATAAAATTCAAAATCTCTGACATGGCTTAAACTTTTTTTTATAGTGTCTGCCAATTGTTCACCTCTACAGCTTAAAATTCACCTCTCCCTTCCTGCCTCCCCTTATTTTAGCTACACATTTTTTTCAGTTCTTACATTATGTTTATCTTATTCCAAAACTCTTGATCCCAAATTACTATTTATTTTCACCCAACTTAGTTTTTTCCTTCATTCTTTCATTGCAACTTAAATGTTTTTCTTCAAACAGGCTTTCCTTAACCCCCGAATTCTAAATTAGAATCTCCTATGGTAATCTTTTATAGAAGTAAGCTTTTTCCTACATAGCACTTATTTTTATTGATAGACATATCTATTTAATGTTTGTTTCCTCATTAAATCACTCATTTAGGGACCATTTCTTTTCTCATCACTGTATCATTAGTGTTCAACACCTGATGTCATTCAGTAAATATTTGTTAAATAAGATGAGTGAGCGACAATGATATGCACACCTTATATAATTTTTATTACATCTTTTCATGGCTTTTTAGTGTTACTGTTAGAGCAGGTAAACAGGAAAATTTACCAGTTGAGAGTGTATCGGAAGGTTTGTATTCTTGGGCAGAGGAAGGAAAAATAACTTTAATAAATGAAAGTGGCAGAATATAGGTATTATAAGCATTAACAATGTATAGTGTTGTTTGGAATAATGAAAGTATTGAGAAGATTACACTGGGATAGAACCTGTAGCCAGAAAATAAAGAAGAAATCAGAAGCAAAAGAAGAAAGGATAACACAGTTAAGAGTTAACATAGCAGAAAACAAGTTGAAGCCCAAATTTGGTGGTGGTGGTGGTGGCGGCACTAGTTGTAGTAGAAGGTAAAAACAAATTACTAGATTTGAACAGTATTTGTTGGGGAACGGGGACAGAAATGATGAATGGGTTTTTTGTTGATAATGTATATTTCCTAAAATATTCTAGGCAAGAAGTTATCAGTATATGAAGTGGTCAAAAGAAAGTAATAGAATTTCTTCTGCCTACATTGCTGGTGGTCACTTTTATGTCTCTTTCCTATTATCTTTTCAAATAGCCGTTGCATAGCAAATCTACGACCCCTCCTGGATTCTGGAACAATGGGCACTAAGGGACACACTGAAGTTATTGTACCTCATTTAACTGAATCCTATAATAGCCATGTAAGTGAAGCAATTTTTTTTTTAAGTAAATGTCACTTTTTTACTTACATCATAATTTTTTTGTCATCAGTCAACAAATTTGATTTGGCTTCTCTAGTCCTATTTTTGATCTTTCAGTGATATGCATACAATTGTGTATGTACAATTTTAGAAACATAGCTGATTCTTATAAATCATCAAAATTTTGGTGTTTGGCTTTCTAGATTCTGTTCTTTTGTTTGCTGTTTATTTCTCAGAGCTGCTTGATTAGTTTTCTAATGACATTCAACTGTTATTTGCAAAATATTACTGAAGAATTAGTTTTTCCATGGGAAGGACCAAGACATCTATATACATATATTTTCTATAAATGATATATAGATACAACTGTTTTTAACCCCCACAGGTAATTTTGAGGTACTAACAAAGTTGAAAACCACTGACCTAAGAAATAATCATAGGCTTTAGGATTTAAAGATAATAACCCAAGTTGTAAAATTTAAGGTATACTTTTCACAAGTGTAAATATTTCTTTTTTTTAATTAATTAATTTATTTTTTCAAATACATTTGTTTTTACAATTTTATTATTTTAAGTTGTCCTAAAACAGTCAAGTAAATTCAGTCAATAAAGAATTGTCATTGCTTCTCTTAACTATTATCATATTTTATAAATTAGCGGGATCCTCCAGAAGAGGAAATACCATTTTGTACTCTAAAATCCTTTCCAGCTGCTGTTGAACATACTATACAGTGGGCAAGAGATAAGGTAATAAAGATCTTTTTTTTCAAGGAATTTTTTTTGTAATAAAAAAGAAGGTATTTTCAACTTTCAATTAGACTTCTGTTTTTAAATTTTTTCTTTCTTTTCTATAATAGTTTGAAAGTTCCTTTTCCCACAAGCCTTCATTATTTAACAAATTTTGGCAAACCTATCCATCTGCAGAAGAAGTCTTACAGGTAAAAATTAGTATATTTTAATACAAACAAGAGTTTGTGTAATCTTATTTTCAACTTTCCTGCAAATGGTTTATTTTACCTCCTTAAAAAAGGATTAAAGGGGTTATTATTGTTTGTAGTAAATAACATGAGGAATCTTAAAATTATCAGGTCACAAATAACTATTTTAGTTTCGTTGAACTATATGGAGTTGCCAATATTTGACCGTGTTTGACCCCCAAGAAATCAATTCATATGGTTCAACCTAATAATGCTAGAAGGGCTACAAATAATGAATCAGCTTGTTAAGCTCTTGGAGTTCTAGTGAAACTTTGGCAGTTGGCCAGTAATATCTCAGACTTATCACTCATGTAGTGAGGGCACTTCAAAGATGTTTTCTTTCCTTTAATTCTATACTAAAAATGCCAGCTTTTTAGTATAAAACATTATTCTTGGTACTCCCCTTAATAAGTACATATATAGTACTAAAAGCTAGCAAGACATGAAGATAACTTGGGAGACAAGTAACTATGGTTAAAATTTCCTGAGTTATTTGTTTCTGTTTCCCCTCCAAAAAAGAGTAAACACAGGGAGAGGAAAAAGACAGACAAGGACCTTGGGCTGGGAAAAAAAATCCTAAGACACATGAGATGGCACTTCAAACTTTGGCTAATACTTCCTGGGAGAGAGAAGAGAGCGTGTGCGTGTCTGGGTGTTCAGTTGGAAATGCACTTGTTTTGTGTTCTCTCATTCTAGAAGCTACAAACTGGACACAGTTTAGAAGGCTGTTTTCAAGTTATAAAGTTACTTAGCAGAAGACCTAGAAATTGGTCCCAGTGTGTCGAGTTAGCAAGATTAAAGTTTGAAAAATATTTTAACCATAAGGTAAGTGTGCATTATAAAACATAAGAAAAAGCCTGACCTTGGCTCATTTACTGACTGCCAGGTTAATTTCATTGACCCAGAATGTCTGCTCTTTATTTTGGGAAGGTTTTTAGAAATAAATAGTAGATTAAGTGAAAACAAGTGCTGGGCACACAACTAATTTCCCTTTGAATGTTACTGATTAAAGAATATATTAAAACTTCACCCAGAGGCTTGTTAGTTATACATTTAACTGATCCTTCTCTCTCTGCAAAATTGGATTTTCAGTAGAAGTTTCTTCTGAAGGATAAGGAATGTATTTCATCAGTAGTCTTAAAGTAGTTTTTCAGAGTAAAGCAGAAGACTGAGAAAATAGAGATACTCAGTCAGAAATTTTGTTGGAATTTAGCCTTCCCCACTGTATCTCGTAATCATATTTTATGTCTGTTTCCTCATTTGTAAAATGAAGATAACAAATTAGTACCTAATTAGTATTTAATTATATAACAGTGTCCTAATTAATAGGACATTGATGAGGCTCAAATGAATTAATACATGTAAAACATTTAGAACAGTACCTGGCCCATGAATACTCACTGAATATTAGCTGTTATTCTTACTTCCAATGACACAGTTGTTAGAATGTGTTCTCCACTCTTTAGTCCCTTTCTGTCTTTAGGCATGTATCTATTGGAAGATAACTTAAGTTCTTTTTTTTTTTTTTTAAGTTTTTTGATTACACTTATCCCTGCTTTTCAGCTTTGTTTATATACTTTTTAAAATGACAAACTATAAGTGTTGATTTTAAAATAACAATGGAGGTTGCTCCAGGTATGGAGGCGGGGGGAGCATGACAATCCAGAACAGACAGATGCAGTGTAAGAGTAGCTGGGAGAATTTACTGTATATCTTTTGTGTGTGTGTGTGTATGTATGTATGTATGTATTTGTTTATTTTGAACTTCATTTTTTACTTCAGGCTCTTCAGCTTCTTCACTGTTTCCCTCTGGATACCCGATTAAAAGATGGCAGTAAGTATAACCGAGTGAGTGGTGAGAAGAAAGTTTAATGCAATTTATTACTGGCTGCCTCCATTTAAAATAATATTTGTATCTTGTTAGGTTTGTTTTGGCAGTCACCGAAGAGGCCTCCCTCTCCAATAAAATTTGATTTCAATGACCCTTTGTAAGTATTTATATCTAGTTTTATATGCATTTTTATTATAAATCTCGAACATCATGTAAGCTTATCTTATTGGGTGAAAATTTCAGACTCTTTAATGTTAAATTATTACATCTCTGCTAATCTAATAGTTAAAATAGTCTTGCCAGCCAAGCAAGTCACAACACTCCTTTCCACACAATCTATTTATACTCTGTACAATAACCTTATTATTTTTATCTTTTGTAAAATGAAACCAAAGTGTCACCTCTTTGACTTTATCCATAAAAAAGTAAAATGACAGCCAAAAGTTTTCTATTTAATGAAGCTAGTATATAAAACATTTAAGTTGTATGGGGGTAAAAATAATTACTGCTAAATGTCTCCCTAAATAATCTCAAATTAATTTTCAAAGGAGTTCGTCTTTGAGCAGATACCTGTATACATATCCATATGAGATACACACTTTATTTACACACACATATATATATATATTTTAATTAAACATTTAGCTTGTAAGCCTTTTATGCTTAGTTTTTTCATCTGGTGTTTAAGTTTCCAGTCACCTAATCCTGACAGCTTCTCCTATCAGACTTACCTTTCTTTGATTTTTGGCCAAATTCATTTGCTTAGTTTGAACCTGATACACACTTTTTAAAACTAAATGTGTAATATTTTCTTTCGCTAGTCTAATTTTTGCTTTTCCGGCTACCCAAATCCCCAGAGTAATCATGATTGCTACCTAAATGTCAGTGCTGGTGAGGATTAACATCTAATGTTTTCTCTTTTATTGCTTTTGAAATGCTTAGATCTAGACCAGAATTTCACTGCCTGAATTAAAAATAATAATAATAATTCTGTAACAAAAATTTTGTGGTTACATTTCTTCAACATTTTAATATATATAGTTTCTGAAGAATTAAACATCTTTATTTGAAATTTTATATTCACACTTATTTTTTTAATTTCAAAAGGCACTTCAGTTTCCTTTTGAATGCTGCAAAATTATATGCTACAGTCTATTGCATTCCATTTACAGAAGAGGTAAGATATTCTTCAAGCCTTAGCAAATGATACGGAGCCAGGCTAGACTTACCCACCAATTGTCTAATCAAAAAATGTGTTTACATATTATGAGAATTGTTCTTTGATATAAGCTTTTTATTTTGTTGTATCGTTGCCCATTCTAACACAGCAGAAGCTAAAATCTCACTGCAGCATTACTAAGTAGAATCAAGTTGATTATTCTAAGTTTAAGTAGTGAAACAAATATTTGAAAGAGCAGTCTTTATTTTATTTTAGACCCTATTAACTTCAATTGTAGTTACTCTGAAAACCCAAAGGGAACTTTTATAGCAATTTAAAAATATTTCTTAGAGATTCTCTTAACATTTGTTTGGTTTATTTTATGATGCTTCTTACATACTTTACAAGAAATTTGAAAATGTTACCTCCTATTTACATTTCTTAACCCTTATCATCATAATCATTGTCTTAGACATAAATCATTGACTAACTCAAAAGGACCTACTACAGTTTTATTTGAGACAGATTTGCATTAGTCATTTTTTTTCACAAATGCATATTACAGCTAAATAAATTGATATACTTTTATTAGGCAAAATGGGAAAATATGAACCAGATTCATAATTAATACTGGCTCTTGGATCAAGATTCAAATGGATCTAGCATTTTAGATCCAGATAAAAATGCCTGTTGTAGATTAATCCTTATTAGAGTTAATGTACAGTAAAATATCTATAAATGTCTCGTGAACATAATGGCATACAGTCTGTTTTTCTTTTTGTAAAAAAGACTAGTACATTTTTAAAAATTTATTCTTTTCCAGAGAGAGTTGGAAGGGAGGGAGAAAGGGAGAGAAACATCAATAGGTTGCCTCTTGCACACCCCAAAACCAGGGACCTAGCCTGCAACCCAGGCATGTGGCCTGACTGGGAATCAAACTGACGTCCTTTAGGTTCACAGGCCAGTGCTCAACCTACTGAGCCACACCAGCCAGGGCTAAAAAGACTAGCAATTTTGTGATGTGTCATAGGTGCCCTCAAAACCAGATTGTTCCAATTTTTTCTAAACAGATTTTTAATAGTAAATATGGATCTAATAACTTTACATTTATCCAAGTTTATCTGAACCATTTCAATATTCTTCTGTTTCCAAAGGTATGAATTCCATTTACTTACTCATTTTATTTATAATAAGTTCATATAGGGGGCTTTGTAAAACAATGAAGAGGTAGACCCTTACTTCAAAGTACTGTCTGATACAACCAGTCATAAAACTACCTTTATAAAAATTTGTGGAAAGAACTAAGATTTCAGGTTTCCTGACAGATGCTTTTCCACACATACCACTTTTGCCCCCAGACTTTAGAGTTGATATATCTGTAGAAATAAAGATAAATGTCATAAATGGATGTAGTTTAAAGAGTCAAATGATAAATTATTCAAGTATGTTAGTATGAAAAAGGACTTATAGAATGTTTTTAGCTTTAGAATTCAGAATTAAAAGAATAAATTTGTTGATAAAATTACTTTTTAAAAAAACAGGACATATCAGCAGATGCCCTCTTGAATATTCTTTCCGAAGTAAAGATTCAGGAATTCAAACCTTCCAGTAAGGTATGTTGAGAAATTCTTTTATTCAGCAAATAGTTATTGAACTTATACATGTGTCAAATCCCATTCTAAATTCAGAGAATCCTTCATTTAATATACAAAGCAAAATCCTTGCTCTTGTGGAAGTTTTATTCTAATAGGCCAGAGGCAGTCAATTAAAAAAGGTATTACATAATTTGCAAAGTGGGCGTAAGTGCTGAGAAGAAAAAATAAAACAGGGAAAAGAAGGAAAGCATGATGGGGCTGGTGACATTTCATATGGGATAAAGTTGAAAGGCTCTCTGATCAGGTAAATTTGAGCTGAAGCCTGAAGGAAGTGAGCCATCCTGTTCTCTGGTGAAAGAGCAACGTAGGCAGCAGGAACAAGTGCAGAAAGTGGCCTCAAAAGACTTTGAAAGCCAGGGTTTTTCTAGAGGAGGAATACAAAACTAAGAATAGTAGATGGTGAGATTGGAGAGGTAGTCAGAGTTAGTTGGTCCAAAGGCTGAGGATTACTGTTAAGCTGGAGACATGGTGAGAGTTATGATAAGTACTTTGTGTTTTATTGGGATAAAAAGCCAGTGGAGGATTTTAAGCAGAGGAAACAATCTGACTTAATATTTAAAAGGATGACTCTGGTTGTTCTGATAAGAATGGTTATATGAGACAAAAGAGAGGAAGCAAGAAAAGGTATTAAGAGATTATAGGCAATAAATGATGAATAGGTAACAAAGAGTTGTGATAAGGGGTTGGATTCTGTGTGTATTTTGCAGTAGCCCTGACAGGATTTGTAAGAGATTGGAATTGGGAGTATGAAAGAAAAAAAAGGTTGTTACTTGCTTATTTGAAAAAAGAAATAAACTTAACAGCTCTGAGTAAGGAGGAGAAGATAAAGGAAGTTTGAGCAGGAAAAGGAAGATAGGAAATAATTGCCCAGGGGAATGGGAAGTCACTTAATTAGAAGATGTGGTAGAACTGTTGAGACAGCACTGAGGATCCACCTAATGGTAACCCTCTCAATGTATTCCACTAAATGTGGCTGGAGAAAAGGCAATTAACTGCTTGGGTGCTCCTGTAGAACAGATGGAAAATTGGATGTAATAAGGTTGGGATTTGCCAGACAAATATGTTGGGAAGGGAGTAATAATAAACATAGAACATTTAGGCAGGGTAAATAGGAAAGTTTGAAAATATTAAGATTGTTTTCCCCCTACATGTTCTTTGTGTACCTTTTCAAATGCACTCTAAAAGTCGTCCATAAACAACCTTCTGTTCCCCTTACCCTTTAGTTACACTGGAAAATGGAGAGTAATGCCTGCCTTTCTGCAAAATTTAAGAAAATGGAGTGTGCCATCTTCCACCCTGCATTTTTATTTTAGGGAAAAGGAATACTTGTAGGCAGTATATTTTTTACAAGTAGATGGGTTTGCCAGATGAAATGTTCAGGACTTGTAGCTTATTAAGAATAAAAGTACAAAAAGGATAAACAGCATTTCTATATAAAGAAGGTTCCAAGGAAACATGAATCAACAACTTTACTAGCCTTTTTTGCTTTCCCTTCAATGTGTTTTCTGGCCTGAATTACTTTTGTTTCTATCAAAGTTTGGGGGTAAAAAATTATCCCGATCAGTTTGGCTAGTTTTAACATGAATTATATAAGCTTTTTTAGAACTCAAAGCAGTTCACACCAAACCTCCAAAGCCTGACACTTCTAGTTCACTGATATCACAACCAAATTTATCAGTTAGACATTCTGGCAAACAAGTTTCTGCTCCCTTGACTTTTTAATACTTTTTAAAAATATATAAAAACATGAGTTAGATGTGTTTTTTAAATAAGTAATATTTTCATCAGTGATGATATAGCTAATTTCTTAATTTGAGAATATTACTGTATTTTGTTGTGTGTAACATGCCCTTTTTGCCCAAAATTTTTGAGGGAAAAATAAGGGTGCATATTATACATGGGAAATACTAATTTTATATCTGTATAAATGTTTCTAATTTTTTTATTTATGTTTATGCATTAAAAGTGTAACTCTAGAAAGCATTAATGATATCTGTGTGCAAAATAATACCCTGGAATATGATAATCAGGTTTGTTTCTAAATATAAAAAAGTAAAAAATGACATTAAAAAATTAAAACGGATTTTTTTTCCCCCCGAAAGTTTGGGCCAAAAACTTGGATGTGCACTATACGCAGGAGTGCCTTATACACAGCAAAATACAGTAACTTCATTTTCCTCATGCAGTGTCCAATTAGTAATTCCTTAGGGATAAAATACTTGTGTGTTTTGCCCTGCATCTGTATGAAGAAAGACATACTCTTTGGAAAAGAATAGCTTGTCAACAATCAACAAATATTTAAGGAATACCTATAGTATATATTTTATGGATTTCCTCAGTTTCTTTGAATACAGAAAACAGCTCTGTATTAGTTAAAGCCATGCAATTTGGTTTGAAGTAGATTTGTGAGAATCACAAATTGTTCATTAATAGTAACTTTGTTTATAAAAGAGAACCATATAAATTCAGACCTCACAGGCTATTCAGTAAATATTTTTAACACCCACTGTGAATAAGTTTGTTTTAGATATACAAAGTAGGCGAAAGTAGGTTTACAGTTGTTCATGTGGAAAATATACAATAATTAATAAAACATAATACAAGAATAAAAACTGTTTTGCGTACTCACAACTGTAAACCTACTTCTGCCCACCCCTATATTGAGGCTCAGTTAACAAGGTAAAGATCCTGAGAAAGATTCTGGTGGAGTTTAGGTATTAGTATTAGGAGACAGATAATAAAGAAAACATAATTTATATAATATTACCTACTAGTGGAAGATGTAAAATACATTGTACCATAATGATTAATAATCTAATTAAACTAAATGGAGGGAATACTTCCTCTTAATGACATATTTGATAAAAACGTGTGTGGCAATCAATTAAGTACGGGATATGATAACATTAATAAATATATATTTAGGTTATTCAAACAGATGAAACAGCACAGAAACCAGACCACGTTCCTGTCAGCAGTGAAGATGAGAGGAATGCTGTTTTCCAACTAGAAAAAGCTATTTCGTCTAATAAAGTTACCACAAGTAAGGGGAAATCTTTATTAAAATGGTTTGAACTTTTAGGGATTTTTATATTCACTAAGTTCTATATTCTAAAGCTCGAAGGATTAAATAATAATACTAGTTGATTTCATGATCAAATGAAAGGCACTGTTCATCTTTAACTGTGACTGAGTTGATAATTTTCTCCACCATTGCTCTACCCTCAAAAGCTAAAATGTAAGTTTGTTATTGTTCTTTTATCTTTTTAAAATTTTTTTATTTTTATTTTTTTTTTTTTTTAGAGAGGGTAAGGAGGAGAGAGAAACATCGATTAGTTCCACCCATTTATGCATTCACTTCTTGTATGTGCATACTTCTTGTATGTGCACTGCTGCACATACAAGAAGTGAATGCATAAATGGGTGCTTCTTGTATGTGCACTGACCAGCTGCTTCTTGTATGTGCACTGACCAGCTATTGAACCTGGAGCCTTGGTCTATCCAACAAACTGAGCTACCTGGCCAGGGCCTGTTCTGATTGTTTTAGTCCTTGAGGTTCTATCGTGATTTCTTTTTAACTTATGGCTAGCATAATGAACAAAAAAGGGAGTCCTTATGGAGACTAACCTTTAGACAGATCCAGTTATTTTAGGATACAAAAGCATAAACAGGTGGTTTTTTTTTTTCTTGCCTTCTTAGTCTTCATAATTACACATGGAGAATACAAACTGACCAACATATATCCTTCATCTTAAATGTAGGGAAACCAAACTTTACTTCCTTAAAAACAGCTACTAGCTCATGTGTTTAGACCTGCTCGCCATCTCTCTATTACATAAATAACAGCAGTTCCCAAACTTTTGGATTTTATGTACAGAATAGTAAAACTTACTGAAAACAGCCTGGATTTGCCAATTATTTATTTTGCAAATAAAAGGTAATTATCTTAGTTTATAAATTACAGTTCTGGGGGAAAAAACTATTTCTTATTCGATCACGGGTCAGACTATGCCAGTCTACTGGGTGATTCTTGGAACCACTGATCTAGAAATCTTTCACAAAGTTAAATGTTTTTATTTGACCAACTTACCTATTAGTTTTCAGAGGCCAGATGCTTCAGAATAGTATTTTTGAAATCAACTTGCAAACAGTAGCCAATGTTACCTTTTTATCATAAACCACTCACTAGCAGATGTGGTACATGGTTTTCTTCTTTTTCTATTTTTTTAGAAGGGTCTTTATAATATAGAAGTTTCTCTAGTAGTATTGAAGCCACTATTTTCATGTCCTTCAATAACTGCATTTCCCTGGATTTTTCTTGTACATTTCATTCATTTAAAAACATAAACAAAAAGGGCTCTATAAAAGTAGTGAACCCACATGGCATTTCAACTAGTAAAACCTTTACCATTCACTAGGAAACTTTGTTTTTCTGGTTGTTATGATCAGGTGACCTTCAAATGGCAGTCCTTTCATTTGAAAAAGATGATGATCGTAATGGACACATAGATTTTATCACAGCTGCATCAAATCTTCGTGCCAAAATGTATAGCATTAAACCAGCTGACCGTTTCGAAACAAAGCGCATAGCTGGTAAAATTATACCTGCTATAGCAACATCCACTGCTGCAGTTTCTGGCCTGGTGAGCTTATTTGTTATTCTTCCAATGAAAATGCTTCTTTTTCATCGCCTCCTTTTTGTTTTTTATATTATACTACCTCCAACTAGCACTCGGAGATCTTAAGAGAAAGAGGATACATATTGATCTTATAATTAAAAATTTAAGGTATTTCTAACAATAAAGTAATCTATATTTTGAGGTTTTATGGGTATACAAATATTTTAATATAAAAAAGAAGCTCTGTCAAGGTAGAGTCTTAATTTTCCTTATAGGCAGTAATCCTCTTAATATTCTTGTCCTCCATACAAAGCAGGTGCTCTCTGTCTTGAATAAAATGAACTGCCCTAATCTTTGCTCTGGATTTTAGTTTTGCCTTAAAAATATGTAATTACTGTTTGTGATTCGGGTTCTTACAACTTAATCTTACTGATTCAGAGTCTTTAGGATGGTCTTAGTTATTATACTGTACTGTAGTGTTATTCTTAGAAGCTATGTAATTCTGCCCCTATATTAAAAATGTTTTTAGACTCTTCAGTTCTGCTGTCTGCTTTCAAAGAAGGAAGATTACCTGGTCAATTTAATATGTTTTGTAATAACTTTGTTCACTTGTAGACTAGGCGGAGAATTAAAAAGTATAAAACATGCTAAAAGTAAAGCAACAAATAAGAAATTTATGTTATTCCAGTCTAATAGTTGATTTTATTTTATACAGAGAAATGCTTGATAAGAATTTAGGAAAATTATAAATACAGTTAATTAAAGTCATGAATAATTTTAGGCTTTTTATGTAATCAGATGACATTTTTTTATTTAGGTTGCATTGGAGATGATCAAAGTAGCTGGTGGCTATCCCTTTGAAGCTTACAAAAATTGTTTCCTTAACTTAGCCATTCCAGTTATGGTGTTTACAGAAACATCTGAAGTAAAAAAAACTGAAATCAGGTATGCATGAAGGTCTATTTCTCCTGCATAATGAGAATTAAGTAAAATATTTATCTCTCAAAAGGGAAAAGTACTAGTTTCATATTTCTTTTCCTTCTATATGTATAAATTCTTGCTGCCATCTTAAGGCCAGGTATAAAGTCTGTCTTCATGAAGTTTTTGTGACTAAAATAGCCATAGAACTTTCACAACACATAATCGGTCACGCTGTTTAGCTTTGTACTTTCTTACCGTTTCCTCTACCTAACTCAGATGAATTAGAAGGTACTCAAGTGTCTGAACTAATGGATCATACAATTTAGAATCTGGTTCCAAAAGCTGTGTGGCAAAATAAAGTGTTGCCCTGGACATCCATTTTTCATTTTTCAGGTTGTCAACACCAAAAATTTGAAAACACCTATCTTGGCAAGAATGTGAGAGAGCATTCTCATATATTACTGATGAGAATATAAAATAGTGTAACCCATAATAAGGAAAATATACAGCACTCTATTTCAAATTTGCAGATACATTTACATTCATTTCAAATGTTAAATAAACAAGAGATTCATTCTGGCATTGTTTATCATGGCCAAAGATTGAAGAAACCCAAGTGTCCAGTAGTCGGGTACTGGAACATCCCCACAGTGAAACTTGTGGAGGTGTTTAAAAAGAGGGCAGGGGAGAACTCTCACTAAGACATACTGATTTATAATGAGACACTAGAAGGATCAACAAGGAACTGATAAAACTGGTTGCCTGTGTGGTGTGTTAGAGAAATAAGTTTAAGGAATACTTTAAAAGTTGTATTTTTCTGTTTTCCCCTACATTAATATCTGGCTAAATTACAAGTAATTGACTTCTGGGTTATTTTTATTATCTATTACTAAAGGGAAGAACATTAAAATGTTTTTCCTTTGAATTTTTTTTTTTTTTTTACAACAGAAATGGAATATCATTTACAATTTGGGACAGATGGACTATACATGGAAAAGAAGATTTCACCCTTTTGGATTTCATAAATGCAGTAAAAGTGAGACACATTCACTTAGTTCCTTTGAGTCTGTTACTTTTTATACGCTAGTTACTTTGAGTCTGTTAGTTTTTATACATAATTTCTGGAAGATTTTTATAAATATTATTTAGCCCAAGTTTGTCCACTCTTTTACTGGTAGTAAAACATTGTCACCAAACACTTTATATTGAGACAGAGCTTTGATTATTTCTGTTTTGGATGTTCACTTTCAGGAGAAGTATGGAATTGAGCCAACAATGGTGGTACAGGGCGTCAAAATGCTTTATGTTCCTGTAATGCCTGGTCATGCAAAAAGATTGAAGTTAACGTAAGTATCACATGCTGTATGCAAAATAGAAATTGAAACATTAGCTAGATGCACACTGGAAAATTAAAGAGGTTATCAAAGTTTAGATAAAACTATGTATTTACTCCTAACAGTAGTCAAAAAGACAGTGAATCTATAAAGCTTAGTAGGGTGCCTCTCAAGGGAGATTCGTTAAGATTACAATATCCTTGTGAATTTAATGTAGAGTTCACTTTTTAGCCAGTAGGCTTGGAAACTTGATTTGGTCAGTACACTAAGTGCAAATTGACCCACCTCTCATGTGGAAACACATAATGACCAGTAATATGAGAATGAAGTATAAAACAAAATGCTAAATCATTACATTCATTGATTCAGCAAAATTTTTTTTGGAGTGTCTGCTATGTGTCAGGCACTTTTTTGAGCATTAGGAATACAGCAGTGAGCATAGCAAAGTCCCAATCCTACTTGAGGAGTTTGCATAACAGCTAGACAACTGTGTTAAATAGTGTTAAGTACTATGGAGAAAATAAAGCAGAATAAGGGGGTAAGTTGCTGTATTATATTGTTAGTCTAGGTATTCCCTCTGCTTGTCGTAGGTAGTACCTATTTAGGTGGGATTTCATCAGAGACGAAAGAAAGGGAACAAAAAGAAGCCAGTCATTTTATTTATCTGCAAGGTCCTAAATGATCTGTTGCCCAGTTACTCCTCTAAGTTCCTTGTATACTTCTCTCTACTTAAAAATTCTAGCTCTACTGGCCTTCCTTCTTTTCTTTAAACACTCCAGCCATGTTGCCAGCATGAGACCTTTGCTCCAGTTGTTTCCTCTGTAACTATCTCTGAGATAGCAACCTGGCTAACTTGCACCTCTGGTCTTCGTACCTCCTGAAGAGTCTTCCCTGAGCCTTATTTAATACTGCAACCTATCTGCTACCCCCTCCTAGCATGCGTAGTCTCCTTTGTTCTGCTTTTTCTTTTACATAAAAGTTATCATTGGCTTGCAGCTACTATGTATTTTGTTTATGTTTATTAATTATTATCTGTGCCCTGACTGCTGTGGCTCAGTATGTTGAGCATCATCCTGCAAACCAAAAGATCACCATTCACTTCCTGGCCAAGGCATGTGCCTGTGTTGCAGACCAGACCCCCCAGCTAGAGAGGCAACAAATCAATGTTTCTCTCTCTCTCTTTTTCCTTTCCCTACTCTCTAAAAATAAATAAATAAAATCTTTAAAGAAAATAATTACCTGTCTTCCCCCAGGACCTAGACTATTAGCTTCACAAGGAGATAGGAATCTTTGTTTGATCTGGTCACTGATGTATGAGTAGTTCAAGCACCTAGACCAACACCTGGCACAAAAGAGTAAACAATAAGTATTTGTCATATGAATAAATGAATCTCTATGTGATGGTGCTTTGACAGACATGTCAGTTTTAACTGTGATTATCAATTAATGAGGTTATTCACTATTTTTTATTACTATAATCCAGTCTTAATTATCAATATGTGACAAGATTTATATTAGCCAAGACATTAATTTTGCTTCTATTTTTTATTCTATTATTGATATTTAATGAGAGAAGGGAGAGTAAGAGAGAAACATTGATTGGTTATTCTACTTATTTATACATTCATCCGTTGCTGTTTATATGTGCCCTGACCAGAGGTCAAACCCACAGCTTTTGAGTATCAGAACACCACTCTAACCAACTGAGCTACCCAGCCAGGACTATAGTGTTGTTGTTTTTTTCATTCAGATCTCTAAGGATATTTTGGATAAAGTAAAAGTAGTATTTAGAATTCATTTCTTGTATAATACCTAGATTAGAGTGGAATGTGAACTTCTGGCTAAGATGGAGGCATAGCTAGATAGACTTTGCCTCCTCGCACAACCAAAAGGACAACCACACATTTAAAAACAAAAATAACGAGAACGGCCAGAAATCAAACTCTTTGGAAGTCTGACAACCGAGAGATAAAGAAGAAACATCCAGACTAGTAGGAAAGGCCATGTGGAAGGAGGACCCGGCAGGCAAGGCAGTAGATGGTGGACCAGGCGGGCCCACATTTGCGTGCAGATAAACTGGTACGAACAACTGGGGAACGAGATAGACCACACAACCCAGGGTTCCAGCATGGGAAAAGAAAGCCTCAAAAACTCTGGCTATAAAAAACCTGTGGGGGTTATGGTGAAGGGAGAAGATCCCAGCCTCACATGAGTGTTTGTTGGAGACACCCACAGGGTTCTAGAACGTACACAAAAACACCCACCTGGGAATCAGCACCAGAAGGGCCCAGTTTGCTTGTGGGTAGTGAGGGGAGTGACTGAAAGCCATCTAAAAGCTGAGCAAGTGGCATTGCTCCTTCTCTGACCCCTACACCACATACACCACCACAACACAGTGATGTGGGTTGCCACACCCTGGCGAATATCTAAGGCTCCTCCTCTTCCAATGTAACAGGTGTGCCGAGACAAAGAAATGGCCCAAATAAAAGAACAGATTAAAACCAGAAAAACAGCTAAGCAACAAAGAGATAGCCAGCTTATCACATACAGAGTTCAAAACACTGGTAACTAGGATTCTCACAGAAATGATTGACTATGGTCACAAAATAAAGGGAGAAGTGAAGGCTATGCAAAGTGAAATAAAGAAAAATATACAGGGAACCAACAGTGAAGGGAATGAAACCAGGACTCAACAATTTGGAGCAGAAGGAAGAAATAAACATTCAACCAGAACAGAATGAAGGAACAAGAGTTCAAATAAATGAGAAGCTTAGGAACCTCCAAGACAACTTTAAACATTCCAACATCCGAATCATAGGGGTACCAGAGGGAGAAGAGGAAGAGCAAGAAATTGAAAACTTGCTTGAAAAAATAATGAAGGAAAGCTTCCTGAATCTGGCAAAGGAAATAGACTTCCAGGAAGCTCAGAGTCCCAAAGAAGTTGGACCCAAGGAAGCACACACCAAGACACATTGTAATTACATTATCCAAGATTAAAGACAAAGAGAGGATCTTAAAAGCAGCAAGGGAAAAGGAGACAGTTACCTACAAAGGAGTTCCCGTAAGAGTGTCAGCTGATCTCAAAAGAAACCTTGCAGGCAGGAAGGGACTGGCAAGAGGTATTCGAAGTCATGAAAGACAAGGACCTACATCCAAGATTACTCTATCCAGCAAAGCTATTGTTTAGAATGGAAGGGCAGATAAAGTGCTTCCCAGATAATATAAAGTTAAAGGAGTTCATCATCACCAAGCCTTTACTATATGAAATAGAAAAAGAAGAAAATCAAAACTATGAATAGTAAAATGACAGCAAACGCACAGCTATCAACAATTAAATATAAAAAACGAAAACAGAAAACTAAGCAAACAACTAGAACAGGAATAGAATCAGAAATGAAGATCCCATGGAGGGTTATCAATGGTGGGGGGGAAGAGGGAGAATGGGGGGAAGGTACAGGGAATAAGTATAAATGGTAGGTACAAAATAGACGGGGACGTTAAAAATAGTATAGAAAATGGTAAAACCGAAGAATTTATATGTACATTCCATGACCATGAACTATGGGGGAATTCTGGTGGGTGGGGGAATGCAGGGCGGAGGGGAATAAAGGGGAGAAAAAATGGGACCATTGTAATAGCATAATCAATAAAATATTGAAAAAAAAGATACTGTGGTCCTGAAGTGTCTTGATGAGTGAAATTTAAAAATTGGCTGCAAATAATTCACAAAAATGCTTTATAGAATTGGCTGATATTTGTAACCTCCAGCATGACATGTTTTGTGAATATTTTACATTTCATTACATTGTTTATTTAGCAGATAACATTCTGAGTGCCTATAAGGCAGCTGGACAAGCTGGCTTCAGAAAACCTGGATTCTCATCCTTAGCTACTTAACTGTTTTGTTGTGTGGAATAGTAGCGTATTGAACTTTTTTGAAACTTAGTGTCCTGTCCACAAATAGGGATGATTGTGCATGCCCCTAGCTATGGAACACTAATAGGAAAGGCTAGTAATGTAATGGCAAGTAAAAAAATATTCCATGTTACTCCTGTTAATATTTTGTCATCATACTCTTATCAAATAGCCCTTGCTCTCAAGGACTTTACAGTTATTAAGGCAGAGTAGTGTGTTAATAATAAAATGAAATTGATTAATTATTATAATGAAGGTCTTTACAGAGTACTGTGGGTACTACTAAGTCATACCTTGAGCTTAGGGTAGATTTTCACCTTTGATAATGGATTATATCAGGCAAAAGTAATAGTTTGAGCAAAAGCATGCAGTGAAATAAAGAGCATACATGATCTCTTTGAGAAATCAAGTATTTTGGAATGACTTAAGGATGCGGTGGTAGAGAATGAAAACTACAGAACAAAAAAATATCTTTATAAAATGGAAAGAGCTACTATTGAGGAGCAAAGATTTTATAGTTCAGAGTCTGGCATAAGATAGGTAAACGATATATGACAGATAACATTTTTACATTTTAAGAGAATCAGATTTACATTTTAAGAAAATTCTGGCAGCAGTGTATATTGGAGGTAGGAGAGAAACTGGAGACTGCTGTCTAGAAGCTAATGCAATATAGGGCATATAGATGATTGCTTGATTTAAGACAGTAGCAGTGACAATATCAAAAACTAAGTGGGTTCCTTTTACTATTTTTATTATATTTCATCAATTTTTTAAATTATACTTGACATTCAGTATTATTCTGTATTAGTTTGAGATGTACAGCGTAGTGGTTACACAATCCTATACTTTCAAAAGTGGTCCCCTGATACTTCAGGTACCCCCCATTCATAGCTATTACAATATTGACTATATGCCCTCTGCTGTAGTTTACATTCCTATGACTCTTCTGTAATTACGAATTTGTCTAAGCAATCTTTTAGTACATAGTATAAATAGAATATAAGGGAAAGGTGAAACTTACTGTCTTTTACTGTGAGGTTGCTAGCTTGCAATTGATTTAAATTTTGTTGCTTTTTACTCTTCTAGAGACATGCTTGAGAAGAATTTATATGATTCCTCCAAATTTTATAGGAAGTATAGGAGAATTTGTTCGTTGAAATCATTGCTTTCATAAAGCATTTTGGTTTTTTGGGGAAGCAGGTTTGTGTATGTTAGAGGGTTTATTTCACCTTTTGTTTTTGTCTTTGAATAAATGGTTTGTATTCTTCATCTTGCCAGCAGTGATCTAAATTGATTCACTGTTAGGTAAGTGAGTGTCTTGAGTTTAGAGCTTTTAGTTAAAAAGAATGTATGTAAGCAGGTGGATTATTAGGTTTAAAAATGAAATTAAAGTCTAGATAAAAGTCCAGACTTTTTATCTGGGCAATATTAGGCAGCAAATCACTCATTTCAGGAATTTACCAAATTATTTGTCTTTGGTTATTTTTCTTAGAATGCATAAGCTTGTGAAGCCTTCTACTGAAAAGAAGTATGTGGATCTTACTGTGTCATTTGCCCCAGACACTGATGGAGATGAAGATTTGCCTGGACCTCCAGTAAGATACTACTTTAGCCATGACACTGATTAACAGAAGTTGTCTAAAAGTTATTCCAGGATTTCTTGATTTTGGAAAGGGTGCATTTAATTCAGAAGCCAAGAAATCAACTCGTAATGCTATGGATTTCTCTTCGAGGAAGCCTTAATTTAAGGGAAATACCAGTAGAAAACTACACTGAAGAACTGCAAAACATTTTGGACCATGGTGTACACTTGTCTAGTGCTTCATATGTGGATATGATCACAAGCAACTTTGAATTGGAATGTCATTTTGCTTACAAAAAATGTGGATTTACCTTTTTAAGTGAATAGGAGGAAAAAATATGTATCCATGACCAGAATAGATGAAAGATCGAGGAATTGAAGGCAACTATCTGAAAACTTAAAGAATTTATTTGGTTACTATTTGAGGCCCAAATAGTGTCAGGCACCCTGCCCGTCTCGTGATTAGGCTTTGAATTTTAACATCAGTGGGAAGGAGAGGGAAAATAATGGTGGATGAAGAGTAGACATTTTAAGTTGTACAGTTGTAGTTTATTGTCCTGTTACCTCTGCTAGTTTAACCAGAGTTTGTTATATCACTGTCTCTCAAAGATCAGGATCTTTGTTGATAGTGTCAGTATTGTAAGCCATGAGCAGTAGATCAGATGACACGTTAACTTGGACTAAATGTTAATATTATATGGAGTCTGACAACTCTTTTAGAGAATCCGTGAATGTGAACAGATAAATGTGGCTAATCATTTGATTCTTCCATATGCCTTCTAATGTGGCCATTTTATTTATTTGGAACTCTAAACCTGATTGTCGTAGTTTATAAGACTAAAAGGTTTTGTGAAGGGAGTGTTTTTAGAAGTAGGTGAAGAGTAGAAATTAAAAATTTATCACTAGTTGAGTCTTGGATTTGTTTTTCCTTCCTGCAACCTAATGGACAGAAAACAATTATTTAATATTTTATTTTAAAGAGAAACATTATTTTATTCTGCATTCCCAGAAAGGGACTTGATGAAAATAAAAATTTATTTTTTTAGGTCTTTATTAATAGAAACTTTCTGTCTTCTGATATGAGCTGTTGCAGATGTTCATATAAATGCTTTCATTAAAATGACATAAAGTACACTCAATACTGTAAACTCAGTGAAAGTAACAAGTTTTTCCTTTTTTTATTCTATTACGGTCACCCTCCCTTCCCACAGTCAGTCCCTTTTATAAGACTGTCTTGTAATCTAAAGTAAGTTTAACCACCAGGAGCCATTTTCCTCCAGCTGCTTTTCTTCTGCTCTCCTGTTCAGGCTGTTAATAGGTACTTGGATAAAAACTAAATTCACATCACTATTACTCCAATTTGGTGTCTTTTTATACCCTCTGCTTAACTTTCCTTTTATTTTATTTGCAAATACTTTATATTACTTTGTCAGCCAGCTATATTACTTTTTTCTTTTGTAAACATATTTATCCTGTTGAGAAAACAAATTTCTTTAGGAGCAGAAGGTGAATTTGTATGATTAACAGATAATCTGTGCATTAGGAAGTGAAGAGAAGTGGACAAGATGAATTTAAAGGAAATGGCTACCTTTTAAATAAGCAGTTACTATTTGGTTCCCTATATCCTACCCTCTCCCATTGTGCATATCAGAAGTGTAATGCTTAAAATTAGTAGTACTTAAAATTGAATCCAGGAACATCAGCATTCTATGGCTTGAACTTTATAGGCTAGGAATGATAAAAGGACTTTTGTGTAAGAATCCTTTTTCCCCGCATTCATCTTGTTTTGTGTTCCTTGGAAGTAGCTGATATTTTTTAGGTAGCCATTGAGTAATAGTCAACTATGATCTAATAGCTTATCACTTGATGTAAATTTCCAGAGCTCTTCAAAAGTAAGTTCAGAGCCACACTATCAACACTTATTTATAGAGATACAAACAAAATCAACAGGGATTAAGTTCATTCTGTGATATATACCTGAAACCATTTTGTCATTGCTTTTTTTCCTATAGGTAATGGTTATTGCCGTTAATTTCTTCTGTTTAGTTCTACTAAGCTGAAAAGCCATGTTGATGTTAATGACATTTTTTTTCCACTCTCGGTCTTGTTTATTTCTGTATCCTAAGATTAACTGTTGGTGATTGCAGTACTAGGTGCAAAAAATTAATGATTTCATTTTGTACGGTACCACTGAGTAATTTTTTACTTATTAAAAATAAATTTAAAAATTTGACAATATCTTTGTAAATCCTGTTCCATAGTTGATTGCCGAGATTCCAATTGTGCCATTTATTTTGTGGGTAATGTTGTTTTGATGTTTCCTAATTTTTAAGTTATGCAGTGATGGAGATACAACGGTCACTGGATGTGATGGGACATCACAGTGTTTTTTGCTCCTGGAAATTCTTTAAGACAGTTGGGGGGAGATGGTAGTAACCATGTAAAAACCTAGAAGATCCACTATATCCTGTACTGTTAGTTGCCGATTTCTCAAGTTCGTTTTGGACTTAAAAACAGTTACGTCAACTCATCTGTAAGTTCCTCTAAATTGTCGCAAAGGTAGAACTTTGGAATAGATGTGTATCTTTGTTTAATTCCAGTATTTTAAAATTAGTAAAATGAAGACAAAAGAAAATAATTCTCTTGAGATTTTGAGGAAAAATCTCTTGATCTAAAAATTCAGCTATAATGAATACTATCAAAAATTCATTGCAATCATAAATGTATAATTATTTAATATATAATCACTAGGTATGAGTTTTGCTATTTTACTTTTAACAAAGTTTTTTTTCCTCTTGCCTTATTCTACATTTGTTTTTTTAATTCAAGAAATTAATACGCAAAAGAGTGCATAAAATATAAATATGCAGTTTAAGGCATCATTTTAAGGTAACTACTTGTATGACCAGGTCTCAAATCAATAAAACAGTGATAGCAGCCTGGAAGCCCCCCCTTGTAATCTCTCCCAATCACAACCACCTTCCCCACACATACCTTCTGGCAATACTACTACCCTACCTTCTGTGATAACTATGTCTTTGTTTTCTTTTTTTAATTAAAACTATCTTCCATTTGATAAGTTCTTTTTTTTAAATATATAATCTTTGTTATGTATTTTTTCCAGTGCCATTTAGTCTCCTTATACCTCTTTCCCCAAGCAGTCACCTCAAGTTTTAGTGTTACCAATTATGTATGTACTTAAACAATACCACTTAGGTTTAGATGATTTTTTTAAGTAAACAGAATGATACTGTGTTCTCTGGCTGCTGCTTTCATTGAACAAGAGATTCATCCATGTTGTTGTCTGTAGTTATACTTCATTCATTATCATTGTAGTGTAATTTACCTTTGCATTAACATACCAGAATTTATTTGCTCATTCTCTTGACAGCAGGCAATCCTGATGATTTTAGTTTGGGGTAATCACAGTTCTGCAATGAACACTATTAATACAATATGTATCTCCTAATGTAAATACGTTATAACCTAGGGATGAAATTACTTGGACGTAGGGTATTCATATCTTAATTCTTATTAGAGCAGCAGAGATGTCCTGTTTCTCTACATCTTACTCAACACTGGTGTTAACAGACTTTGTAAAATTGTACAAGGCTAGTGGATGTGTGGTTGTATCTCATTGAAGTTGTACTCTGCATTCCCTAAGTACAATTGAAATTGAGAACATTTTCATAAATTTATTGGCCACTTTGATTTTCTTTTTTGTAAAGTGTTCTTTCAAGTCTTTTGCCCATTTTTCTCATTTGTTTGTAAAAGATCTTTATAAATCTTGTTCTTTGCTAGCTGTGTAGTTGAAAATACTTCCTCCCACTCTGGCTTGCCTTTACTTCTCTTGATGGTATTCTTTGATAAAAAGACTTTGTTAGTAAATACTGAGAAGTATCAATCTTTTGTTTTAAGGTTAGTTTTTTGTAAATTTAAAAAACTGATCTGTACCCAAAGCTCATGAAGGTACTCTTTTATATTGTTTTCTAAAAGCTTTAGTCTTGCCTTTCACATTTAAATTTTTAATTCACAAGGGATTAATATTGTGTATTCTGGGAAGTGCCTAATCACCACTTACTGAATTTCATCCTTTTCTGTAGTGTCACTTTTCTGCAGTGACACAAAAGTCATATATCCATACGTATCATATGTGTGTGTGTGGATGTGGATATGGGGCAAAAGTAGGTTTGTGATTGTGATTACACAAAACAGTTTTTTCTTGTATTATCATTCATTATTTTCCATATGAACAACTATAAACCTACTTTTGCCTGTGTGTGTTTCTGAATTTTTTCTTTGTTTTCTATACCTGTGCTTTTTACTGTCTTCAACACTTTAGCTGATACATTGTTTTTTATATTTGGCAGAACTGATCCTCCTAGCTTGTTCTGTGTCTTGGTTATTCTTAGCACTTTGTATTTTCAGTTCTCAAATTTCTGTTTGAATGGAAATGGAATATGGAAATCTGTTAACTCTTGCAGTTTCCAGTTGCCTTGCTCTAATTTTCAATCTTTTTATCTACCTTAACATGAAAAGCATTATTTTATAGTCTGTGTTTAGTAATTCAAAAATCTGAAATTCTTTGGATCTCTTACTTTTGTTTCTACTAATCCTTCACTTCTTCTTTTAAATTTTTGTGTCTTACTACTTTTTATTGTATGCCGATGTTATATTTGAAAAATTGTAGAAACAGTTCAATGCCCAGCATGATAATTTTCATCCTCCGCAGAATTTTTTCACGTGTTCTACCAGAAACATGCGCATTAGTAATTCAGGATAATTTTGACCCAGTTTTAGAGACTGAGATTTTCTGTGTCATCCATGTTACTCAGAGCTGAGCTGTAGACTATACTAGCATTCGTTCTTCCTGTTCACCTAACTCCTACAACACTTAGTGTTGCAAAGTGTGAGTTGGGATTACTAGGCAGCCCCCTCTTGGCTGGCTTAGAGTCAGCCTTTAAATCTCTAGTCATTTAGCTCTGCCTGGCTTCTCACTGGCCTCTTAAAAATCTTCAAAAGCCCCCAGGGAACAAGAGGTCACAAATGAAGGGTGCACCTTTATGAATTTCTATTTTCCTCAGTAGTGTGATAATTATTCACTAGCACCCTCCTAACATATTTTTTTAAGATTTTATTTATTTTTAGAGGGGGTGGGAGGGAGAACAAGGGAGATATCAATGTGTGGTTGCCTCATGCACCCCGTAGTGAGGACCTGGCCTGCAACCTAGGCAAGTGCCCTGACTAAGAATCGAACCGGTGACCCTTTGGTTCTCAGGCCAGTACTCAATCCACTGATCCACAGCAGCCAGGGCCCAACATTTTTTAATAATGTATTTTGTTCAGCTTATTCTAAATATTCTTAAATGAGAGTGCTAAACCAAATTGCCTAGCCCTCTTAATTTCTTAACTGTAGTTTGTGTAAAATATAACTGATTTCTTTGCATTGCTTCTGTATGTGGAAACTTACTAAACTTTTGGTGATTCTTATAAATTATTTGTAAGTTCTTTTAGATATCCTATATAATCTTCATAAAGAGACGGTGTGTAGTTTTTTTTTAAGTCCAAATTTTAATTTTGTTAATCTTCTCTAGTGTATGTTTCATTTCTATTCTACTGATATCTGCTCTTATCAATATCAGTTTCTTTATTCCTATTTTCTTCAGGGTTTTTTGTTTGTTTTTTACTGTTGTTTCTAACTTCTTGAGATGGATGCTTACCTCATTCATTTTCAGCCTATCTTCCAATATATGCATTTAAAAGTTATAAATATCTCTACATTACTATAATTATATTATTTATACTCTAATCGTTGTAGTAGCTGTATTCCATAAGTTTTGGGGGAGGGTGTGTGTATATATATATATACAGTTGGGCAAAAGTAGGTTTACAGTTGTGAGTACATGAAACACAGTTTATCATGTTGTTATGTATTACTGTGTTATTTTCCATACAACTGTAAACTACTTCTTCCTCACCCTGTATCTCTGTATGTATGTGTATGTGTATAATTGTTAATGTTTAAAATATTTTCTACTTTCCATGAGGAGTTCCTCTTCATCCCTTGGGTTTTTTAGGAGAGTGCTTCTTCATTCCTGCCTAGAGAGTGAATTTAGGGACTTTTAAAATCCAATTTGATAATTATTGTTTTTTAACTGGAACACTTAGGCCAATTTACATTTTATGTAATTACCAATATATTTAGATTTATTTCTGTCATTCCATTTTATAGGCTTTTCTTTTTGTTGTTCTGGCTTGTTCTGTGATTGTTTTTCTCCAATTTCTTACCTTTTTCAATTTGTATTTATTTAGGGTTTTTTCCATTTATGCCAACTATTCTTTCAACTCTAGACACCGTATTCTAAAGCTTTGCAAACTACATTTCTCCTTTGCCATTTGGCTTCCTTTAGGTTCCACAAATAGGGAGCACTAGGAAGGTACTCGCATGCTAGACAAAGGGAGAAGAGACTTTTACCCTTGCTGTTTTCTTTACTGTCAGCGTGGCTTTTCTTCCACTAGTCGTGGTTGGGGTCTAGGCACTAACTTTTCTCTAGCCTTCTAGGGTATCTCATCTAGGCTTCCACGTTCCAGTAATCTCACTCTCTGCCCTTTATTAGTTGTGTCCCTTGCTGACATTTTCAGTTCTCCCAAAACCTAATTAACCTATTCCTTGGGTTAAATTCTTTCTTAATATAAGTGATACAGTTTCTCTTCCTGAGGTGTACACTTTTTTTTCTTTATTAATTTAGTGGCTTTTGTCTTTTGATCTTTACCCTGTTTTACAAATGCATATTCAGATTGTCAGATTAAAGGTAGTCATTATCTTTACTTTTTTGCAGAGTAGTTTCCAAAAATGGCCACAGCAATATTTCCAGTCTCACATGCTCTTCTAGAAGCTTGCCACATTCACCAGGATAGAATCTGTTTCCACTTATGTTGAATCCAAAGAAAGTTTTATGGCTGCCTCCACTAAGATAATAGAATACAACATAAGTAGCTCATTTATATTTACTTACACATATACATATCACTTTGCACTTTATTCTGTTTTGTAACTCAGGCTTTCATCTGGGATGAATTTCTACTGGAAACATTTCCCTCAGAATTTCATTTTGTGAGAGTCTGCTTGTGGCATCCTTGCTCATGAATTTTTTTTTTTTTGTATGAAAATGTCTTTATTTTGC